ACTCAGGGATTAAACTGATTATGGAAATAACACAGTGAAATAGTGAAGCAGGGTTCAATAAAGAGCAATAGGCTTGGGGTCAGGAAAAATGAGTCAAAGTAATGACTTTGCCTTTCTTACCTGTTTCCTATATTGCTGAGTCAGCACCTTTTAATTGGTCTTCCAGGAAGTCTCAAAAAAACACTTTAATTTACATTTCACTGGCCAAACCTTAGTCAGTTGGCCCAACTTAACTGCAACAAAGCCTGAGAAATGTAACCTTTATTCTTTGTGCTACTGTGACTAGCTAAAAATTAGGGTTCTCTTTCTAAGAAAAAACTAGAGAGCAGGTAATAGGTTATCTATCAGTCTTTGTTAGGTTTACATTTATATTGTGCTGAGAAAATGGCTTTTAAATGAAATGAAAATGCTCATAAATATATTATGGAATGCCCATTTAATAAAATAAATGGTTTAGGTTTCTGGTTCTAGCAATACCATTTCTGGTTCTAGTATACAGTATAATCAGTCATAAAAATATTTTAAACATCCTTTTAAATACCCTACTATACTTATAATAAATTAAGGAAAGTTGCCTGGGGCAGAAATAAAGAGGAAACTAATAATAGAACACTGTGAGCTATAGCTTAATTGGGGGAGTGATGGGTCATTATTCTAGGGACTTGGATTTTAATGCGTATGTGGGGACTCGAGACAAGATCTTGGAAAGTTGGAACTGAGCTCTACTTTCCTAAAGCCAGAGCCCTCATCAAAAGAATGGGCTAGAAAATAATCATCCACCCCATAAAGTTGATTACAAGGAAATCTGAAGATGCCTGCCTGGGCTCTAAGTAGAAAAAAGGACTGTCTTGAGAATGTGTAATTGTTACCCAAGCAAAGAAAAGCTGATTTTGATCGCAAAATGAAATACAGAACTACTTTGGAAGGAAATTCCCTGAACACTGACCATATGTAAATTTTACAAATAAGATCTACAAAAGGATAAGTTCATAGTCCAAAAATATAAAACATAAAGTTCTATGAAAAAGAGTGAGTTAATTGATTAGATTCCTAACAGCTTAATAATAGGATAACTTGGTTGAGTCTATAAATGAAATATATTCAGACGAGATCAGGCGCGTTCGGGGTGGTATGGCCGTAGACTAAATTAAGTATATTCAAAAAGATTAAATACATAATGAAGAAATAGGTAGGTTATAGTCAAGAATCAAACAGAACTTCTAGAAATGTAAAATGTGGTAATTGGAGGTTGGAAAGGTTAGGAAGGATATAAGATGTAAGTGAAGAGGCAGTTAGTAATCTGGAAGGTAATTTTGAGGAAACTACAGAAAATATAAGAAATAGCAACTATTAAGGAGAGTTTATAGGACATGGAAAATAGATGGAGAAGGTCTAAATTTTATCTATTATGGGTTACAGACTAGAATAGTAGAGAGAATGAGAGAGGCACAGTATTCTAAGAGATAATGGCTGAAGAGTTCTCAAAAGGAACAAAGACATTGGGAAGTATAAACAGTCCTGAGCAAGATAAATAAAAATACATCTGTATTTAGTCAGATTATAGTGAAACTGTAAAATAAAGACAGGGCAAATTTCCATGAAGGGATAGCTGTTGGCATGATTGAAGACTAATCTGTGGCAATGGATAGAAGCCAGAGAGCAGTAGACTAGATCTTCAAAATGCTGAGAGAAAATAACTGCCAACATAGATTTCCATACCTAGGTAAATTATCATTTAGGAATGAGGACAAAATAAATTTATTTTCATAAGACTGAGAGAGTTTACCAGTCTCAGATCATCATTAAAAGAACTATGAAAGAGTGAACATCAGGAAGAAATGAACATAAAAACAAGGGTGAAATTCAAGAAGCAATAATGAATAAAGAAATTGATAAAAATGGAGTAATTTTTGAACAGTGACTACATATTACAATATTATTATTACTTTGAAAGGAGTTAAACTAAGGTGGTTCTCAAATGTTGAACAACAATAATATACAAGACAATAGGGCTTGATTAGAGTTAAAATACTGTGAGGGAAACAAAAAATTAGTTGCCTACTTCATGATATAATAATCTGAGTAGATTAGAGTTTTAAATGTGATAAGTGAAACTTTAAGATATTTAGAAGAATATATATGAAAATAAAATTTTGAACCTAAGGGGGAGGATTTTCAATACAAGACCAAAGTACAATCTAGTATGATAAATACTGCTACATTTTACTTCATTAAAACAGAAATATCTAATAAAATACAAAGAAGTCTTGGGATGGAAGAACATACATTACATAGCACTTGCAGGGGATAAGTATCCAGAATATATCATGATGATCTTCAAATCAATAAGAAAAAAAGACATGATAAAAAAATGGACAAAAGGTCTAAACAGGCAATTCAAGAGAAATATATCCAAAAAGCCAATAAACACATGAAAAGATGTTCCGCATCACTAATTATAGGGAAATACTATGATAACCAGGGTAAAGCACCGTTTCTTACTAATTAGATTGGTAAAATTAAAAATATTGACAATAATGTTGGTGATATGGAACAACAAAAATTCTTATACTCTGGTGGTAGGGGTACAAATCTTTGGTGAATAGATTTGACATTATGTGTTAAATTGAAAGTTCACATGCCTTGGGATATACCCTTGAGAAACTGAACTGTGTGTGCGAGGACACACGTTTAACAATTGTTTTACATGTCCCTGATACCTCCATTTCTCATCCCACAATAGCTGTTCCAAAGTGTTGTGTTCCACTGTACCTGCAGCATATTCCATCTTGCCCTATCTCAAGCAAATGACCTCCATTTTGGACTTGATAGTAAATTTATAATATGTAAAACCTAGATTAGATCATCAAAGAAGTAATTATAGATTAAAATAAGAGAGGAGGTTCATAGGGCACTGTGAGTGGAGCGGCCATAGGGCACTGTGTAGTGAGAAGCACCAGCAAAAGTATCGAGAAGGAACTGCCAGAGGAGTAGGACGACAGTCAGGAAAGTGTGGCCTTGGAAACTGAGAAAAATTATTTCAAGGAAAAGAGTTATCAGCGGTGTCAGACACTGTAAGATGAAAACTGAAACTTGACCTTTGGACTTATAAACAATGAGGCCATCGATGACCTTCACAAGCAGTGTTAGTGGAGTGGTGGAGGGGAGAATCTGCCGAGGGAGAGGAAATCAGAGACCGGAGATGTGGGCAGCTCTCGCCAGTAGCCTTGCTGCAAAGAGCAGGAGAGAAATGGTGTGTGAACAACCCGGTCACGTTAGCTACTACATAGAATTGTTTCAAGTTACCTCTTTCAGGTATTATCAGCTTGTGGACACTTTAACATCATAAATGGTCACTCTTTTTTGTCTATTTTACAGCTGCTTTTTTCTATTTGATCTCAGCCAGGAAAATGGTCTTAAGCTATGTGTATTTCCATATAGATACATTTACTAAGCATCAAAACATTTCGTCTAGAGTACTTTGGGATTTTCCCACACTGGGAATTTGATGTTTAACCTTTCGACCACCCAACAAGCAAAAAAAATGTTACTCCTTTTATCTTCTTAGAAGCTTTTAAATAAGCCTGAAGCCATTTGAGAAAGCAAGCATAATACTTCCATGAACATCGTTTTAGCTAGAATAAAAGTAGATGTGAATAGTCTCATGTACATCTCATAAGATTTTTGCCCAGAAAATATAAAATAAAAATCCAAATTTTAAAGATATGTCCTTTTTAATGTTTTATAAAATGTTGGTATAGTTTCCAGTATCAGGGCATAAAATTCTAAACTTTCTACATGTAATCAAGTAAACTTCCTAATCATTCTTTATTTTTAAAAATTAATATTGATTTAAGTTAATATAAAACAAATGTGTGGGGTTTTTTTAAAAGACAGTAATAAAGATAAGTAAACAATTTTGGTTAATACAAATGGTTTTTATTTTTCCTTTTTCCATTCTTCATTTTCATGTCTCTGTTTCTTGGCTGCTAAGAGGTAATGCATTATACAGTGTTTAGATAATTGATATAATTGTTTCAAGTTACCTCTTTCAGGTATTATCAGCTTGTAGGCATCAGTTTCTCTAATTGTCAAGTAGTGAATCCTTTATCTGGCATTTAATCTTGCCTGCTTGGGAAAACCAGACCTTACCACAGAGTAAATTTTCAAATTGCTGACCTGAAGTAACATGACACTGTGCCTGGGCAGTGAACCTTTGCTTTCTGTTGTTCTTAGGAGGGGTAATGATGCACTCTGTTGCCGGAAGGCCCTAGTTTTACTACCTTAAGAAGTAACATCTAAGTACAAGTTACAAAGGTCTGAGTTTGCAAATTCCAGAGAATATAATTGCATTGACACATATTTTTATTTCCTTTGGCAAGATGAGATAATTTAAAAATGTAAATTTTTATCACTTCTACCACTTAAGCCACCGATCTTATGTCAGCATGACTTAGAGAATCCACAAAGTACCTGAAAATGATAATTTCTTTGGCAACCATCAGCTTGTTCTCTGTTTTTATGAGTCTATTTTTGTTTTGTTTTGTTTGTTCATTTTTTTAGATTATACATATAAGTGAAATTATGCAGTATTTGTCTTTCTCTGACTTACTTCACTTACATAGTACCCTCTAGGTCGATCCATATTGTCACAAATGGCAGGATTTCATTGTTTTTTATTGCTGAATAATATTTCATTACATATCTATATATACATATGTGCCATGAGATGAAAAAGGTTGAAAAATTGCTGCTCTAGAGAAACTACTAGCTCAGAAATTTAATGTTCTCTAAGACTGAAACTGAAGATATAAATCACAGCTCCTTCAAAGTTCCAGTTTAAAATCTTCAGGTCCTTAATAATACTCATTGTAGGATCTTTGGAGTATTAATTCATTGTACTCATGTGGATAATTTGTGTATAAAATTATTAAGGTCTTTAGAAGACAATTTTCAAATTTTCATTTACTCTATTCATTTTTAACACAATTATATGCATTTATATTCTGAAAGGGAATGTTATTTTACATAGTCAAAATTTATTTGCTTTCTTAACTTTAGGTTGCTATGGGTAGAACAGACATTGAAGACTTAGACCTCTATGCTACATCTCGGGAAAGGAGATTTCGTTTGTTTGCTTCTATAGAATGTGAAGGGCAGTTATTCATGACTCCATATGACTTTATTTTGGCTGTTACAACAGATGAACCCAAACGTAAGTATATATTTTATAGTTCTTATAAACTCCTATTGGTATATCTTCTCTTTTCAGAAACTTTCAGCTGTTCCCTCTTTCTCAGTACATTAAATTTAAACACCACCTTACTCTTGATATTTTTTATAATGTAAAACTTATGTTCTGCCTAGTCAATTCCTATATCCAGCCTAAACAGAGTAATTCAGAGGACTGGCTTTGAAGTTAGGCGTAGGCAAGAATTCTGCCTATATCTCTTATATTTGTCGTGGCTCCTGCAGTGTAAATATAGGCTAATTGTTTTTCACCTTTCCTCGTGTTAGAGCAATGGTTCACAAACTTTTTGGCAATATATACGTTTTTGCAAGTCTCTTTAATGTCTGACTTTTAGAAGACAGTTGGATTCTCATATCTGCTCTTGTATTTAATTGTTGCATTATGTTGTTTTTCATGAAGTATGTGAGCAAAATCTGCCTCACAGATTTAAAAATAGGAAAAGTATATTGAAATTAGACAGACTTTTGTTTAAACCTTGGCATTTATTTAGTAGCTTTGAGAACTTGGTTAAGTTATTTAATATTTTGTTTCCTCACTTATGAAAATAAAAAGAATAACAGCCTCATGAGTTTTTTTGAGGATTGAATATATCAGTTGTGTTTACTGTAGTACCTGACACACAATAATTACCTAATAAAAGTTGGCAGCTATCCTCCTCATTATTATTACTTAAATTCATAACCATAATTTAAAAAATCTTTAATATAATTTTATGGTGACATCAACAGGGAAAAAAGTATTCTGTGTAAACATGTGCTTAATGATTATAGTAGAAATAAATGTTATTGAGATATACATCTGATTGTTGATTGTAACTTTGTGTTTGAAATTGATAAAATTTCTTATTTTACCTACTTAAATAGAACCTAAAAGGTGAATTTCCCTTCTAGAACTAAAATAAGTAATTTTTTATTCTCATAGCTTAAAATATTCTAATTTTTATTTTATAAGATGTATTATTAAAAATTTTTAGATATACATAAAAATATTAAAAATAAAATGAACATCAACCTGTAGCTTTAAGAAATAAAATATATCCAATAGAATTGAAGTCCCTCTTCACCCAAGTTATATTTATATATGCAGTAACTTCACATTAAATAAATAGTTTAGAAAATCAGAAAATCCTTTGAAGAACAATCTTAATGGCTCTTTAGTCTTTATAAGAAAGAGCTAACAGTATTGAACATGGTGACATATCCGGGAGAATGAATATGTCTCTTGTGAATAATTTACCCTGGAGATCTCATAAACCCTACAGAACTCAAGAGTGTGTCTAACTGCCTCTTTTGATGAATAGCTTCTGAACATTCATCAGAGCATGTGTATTCACTTTTGTGCCCTTTATTTTTCTTATTGCTATATTTCAAAAGCAACAGAATAATAAATGTTATTTACATTGTTCATTATGAAAAGGAGGATGTCTTTAAAAGTGAATGTATATAGATCATTATTAAGGTTAAATGCTGAATTCTGCTTTATAGACCTATGACTTTAATCACTTGATTACATGTCTGTATAAACTATCTTGGGTAAAGAAAGGGTATTGTTGCTACATGGAGAAGAAACCTATCTGCGTAGAAGTCAGTATGTTAAATTTTAAAACATACTCCCTTTTGATCTTAAGATGACATATTACTTAAGAAAGAAAAAGTTATAGAGCAAAGAAATGCCTGCCTTATAGTCTTGAATTTGATATGTTGTTTACATTAACTATGGTTAATTATACAGAAATAACCACATTGCCATGTAGGAATATTATTGGTTGTCATTACTGTAATATAGCTAAAATACTTAATATTTGCCAGTTCCTAATTCAGCTTTATGATGGGACTGCATCCCATATAAACCTGCAGATAATTCTTGGGCAATCATTAGATACTCGGTGTTCAAATCTGAGCAAAGGAAACAGCAATATGGCTCACATTTATTCCAGTATTGTAAGGTTTGTGATTTTCAAGATCTTCAGAAATGTGAAGAGGAACCAACGGGAAAGTGCTCGCTGGTGCTTTATTTGGCTGTTACAGTCTTAGGGGAGAAGGTAGGAGAGCAGGATGAGACTCTGTCTCACATTATTTGCCCTCTCATTCATCAATTTCTCTTTGGCCCCATCCTCCCATTCACCCTGAAGAGACCTGACCCTTGAATTGTAATCAGAGATACTAACGCAGCAGAGATCATTGGTAACACCTGAAAATTATAGTTCCTCTATGTTAATATTTTATATTCTAGTATAACTATTTAATAAATATCATTATCTGTGTTTTTAAGACCATAGGATGTTTAACATGAAGTAAATTAACTTTATAAATCCAGAAATCCCCGAAGTAAGATGATGATTATGGAAAATGTGTTTCCTATTGCACTTATATTATATATTATAAATAGTTTATAGTACATGGAATAAATACATACCATAAATAAAATATCTTGGATCCAAATCTTGAGTAACTTTGCCTTTTAGATATAAAAGCTTGGTGGTGTGAGTTATGGTTATTGATAGTTACTGAATTTGGATATATATGACATTAAGTATTATCTAATTATTATGTTTGTTTATTATAGTTGCTAAAACATGGAAGTCACTCTCCAAACCGGTAAGTTAAAGTGCGCGCGCTCTCTCTCTCACTCTCTCTCTGACACACACACACACACACAGTGTGGTATATATATTTTCTGGAAATTAAATTACAATCAAGAACCATTTGAAGATGTGGATCAGTGGTAACTCTCATGTGTGAATGTAAATTGGTATACCCACTTTGGAAAAGAGTTTGGCAATATCTATTAAAATTAAAGATCTACATATCCTATACCTAGCAGTCCTACTCCCAGGCTTAAGTTCTAGAACAGTGCATGCATATACCTAATAAGTTACCCCTTCCCTCTGGTAACTACCATACTGTTATGTGTGTCTGTGAGTTTCAGTTTTATATCCCACATATGAGTGAAATCAACTGACTTATTTCTCTTAGCATAATATTTTCAAGGTCCATCCATGTTGTTGCAAATAGCAGTATTTCATCCTTTCTTATGGCTGATTAGTATTCCATTACATATATATACCACATCTTCTTTATCCAATCACCTATTGAAGGACACTTGGGTTGTCTCCATGTGTTGGCCACCATAAATAATGCTGCAGTGAACATAGGGCTGCATATATCTGCGAATAAATGTTTTCAAATTTTTCAGGTAGACACCCAGAAGAGGGATTGCTGGGTCCTGTGGTAACTCTATTCTTAGTTTTTTGAGGAACTACCTGACTGTTGTCTGTAGTAGTTGTACCAGTCTACATTCCCACCCACAGTGAATGAAGGTTCCTCTTTTCTCTACAACCTCTCCAACACTTGCTATTTCTTGTCTTGTTGATAATAGCCATTCTAACAGGTGTGAGGTGGTCTCTCATTGTAGTTTTGATTTGCATTTCCCTAATAGCTAGTGAAGTTGAGCATTTTTTCATATATACGTTGGCCATTTGTATATCTTGGGAGAAGCGTCTGTTCAGGTCCTCTGCCCATTTTTTAATTGAATTGTTTGTTATTTTGTTGTTGAGTTGTATGAGTTCTTTATGTATTTGGATATTAACCCCTTGTCAGAGCTGTTTCCAAATATCTTCTCGCATTCAGCTTGTTGCCCTTTGTTTTTTTTGGCAGTTTCTTTTGTTGTGCAGAAGCTTTTTAGTTTGATATAGTCCCATTCATTTATTTTAGTCTTTACTTCCCTTGCCATTGTGGTCAAATTCATAAAAATCTTCTCTAAGACCAAAGTCCATAAGTTAATACCTATATTTTCTTCTTTGTAATTTATTGTTTCAGGTCTTATATTTAGGTCTTTGGTCCATTTTTAGTTAATTTTTGTTGTATATGGGGACATACAGCAGTCTAGTTTTATTCTTTTGTATGTGGCTTTCCAGTTTCCCCAGCACCATTTATTGAAGAGGCTTTCTTTTCTCCATTGTATGTTTTTGGCTTCTTCATTGAAAATTATTTGCCCATATATATGTGGGTTTATTTCTGGGCTCTGAATTCTATTCCATTGGCCTGTGCGTCTGTTTTTCTGCCAACAATATGCTGTTTTGATTACCACCACTTCGTAGTATAATTTGAAGTCAGGGAGTGTGATACCTCTAGCTTCATTCTTTTTTCTGAGGACTGCTTTGGCTGTTCGGGGTCTTTTGTGGCTCCATGAAATCTGATGCTTTTTTGTTCTATTTCTTTAAAAATGCCATTGGGATTTTGATGGGGTTTACATTAAATCTGTATATTGCTTTGTGTAATATGGACATTTTAGTTAGGTTGATTCTTAGAATCCGTGAACAGGAAGTCTTTCCATTTCCTCGTATCTCTCATCCTCTTTTAATCATGCTTTGTAGTTTTTTGTAAATAGGCCTTTCACACCCTTTTTAAGTTTATTCCTAGGTATTTTATTCTTTTTGTTGCAATTGCAAAAGGAATTTTTTTTTCATATTATGTTTATGGATGATTTGTTTGGAAGAGTAAGGGGCCCCAAATTTTCAAAACAATTCTGAAAAATTGGGATGGGAACAGTTGGGCCTGTCTCATGTTAAGATTAATAATAGAGGTATAATGATTAATGTGGTATTGTTATTATTACAATAATTTTTTTAAAAAGTAGATCAACATAACAGACTATAGAGTCCAGGCATGTATGGGAACATCTATAAATCACTGGAGAAGGGATTGACGTTTAGGTATTGGAACAATAGTCTTTCTTACATTGGGGCAAATTTCAGGTGGATTAAGGTCTTATTTTTGACAAACAAAAATTCTGATATATTGGAAGCAAAATGAGAGGCCCCAGAGGGTTTATTAGACAAGACAGGTAAAGCAAAACTTAGAGGAAATTATTGGCAAATTTTAGTATGTTAAATATCAAGAACTGTGACATACCAAAAGATAGTGTCAACAGTGTTGAAAGATGTATGACAAATGGGAGAATATGCTTGAAACATTTTAATGGTAAAGTTTAAGTGTCTTGTAGGCATATAGAACTACTATAAATCAGTATAGAAAAGATATATATGTAAAGGAGATCAATGTCACAGTAATCAGGGATGTGCATATTAAACCAGATGTGATACTATTTCACAACCATCAGATTGTCAGCTTCCAGAAATCTAACAATACCAATAATTAGCATGGATAAGAAGAGAAGGACCAGGTGAGAATGTAAATTGGTATATTCACTTTTGAGGGAAATTTGACAGTATCTAATAAAGTTGAAAATGTACATGAAAAATTCTACTTGTAGGTATGTATACTAGAGAAACATTTGCGTGTTTATACCAGGAGTCCTGTACGTATTTCCTGCAGCATTGATTGTAATAGCAGAAAAAAATTGGAAACAATATAAATGTAGAGAAATGAATAGAACTGTGAAATAGGCATATCAGGACAAATACAGTAATACAGAGCTAAAATGAATAAATACATTAGAGCTATGTATGTCAACATGAATAGACTAAGCAAACATAAGGTTAAATAAAACAGCCAGTTCAGAATAATATAGACCAGCCATTCTTAAAATGCAGAGACCTTTTTAGGGATCCATAAGGTCAAAACGATTTTCATAAAACACTGAGAAGGTACTTGTTTTAGTTCTCTCATCCTGTCACGCGGCCGCCTGGTGCGTGATGGCGCCATCACTCTGACAGCTAATAGAATATGTACTTGTGTATTTTTGTTTTAAAACTTTATTGTTTCTATTTCCACATGCATTAAATATTTATAGATATATCCCACATGAATAATATCTCTTTTGGGTCCATAATAATTTTTAGGAGTATAAAGAGTTATGTTTCTGAACTGCTACTATAGACAACTGCTATGTAGCTATTAAAATGAAAATGAAAAATGTTTGGCAGGAAAATATGCCCATATATTAAATGCAAAGAGTAAGTTACTAAACAATATATAGAAAATGACTTAATTATTACCACAACAATAACAAAATACTATATAAATACGCCTTTAAAAGGCAACTATAATTCTAGGTAACTGAATTCAATCCAGCAAGTATTTATTTGCTACCTGTTTGCAATGCTGCAATATAATTCTGACACTAACCACCCAGAGTTATCATCAGACTCCACAGGTTTAAGGACCCAGCCCCCAACAAGACTGCCTTCATTTCAGGAGCCAGCTGCAAGTTCAAGGGTCCCCAAACCACCCATACTTCTGACAGACTGGCTGCAAATCCAGGCAGTTCCCACAGCTCACCTCAAGTTTAATAATTTGCTAGACTGACTCATAGAACTCAAGAACCTTCTACACTTAAAACTATAGTTTATAATTATTATAAGGGACACAAATAAGGACCAGCCAAATGATAACATACATAGGGCAAGGTATAGGAGGGCCACAAACACAGAGCTGCTCTGCCTTCCCCCCATGGAATCAGGTGTGTCACTCTTATGGCACATCAGCCTATTCACAAACCTGAAAGTTCCACTGAGCTTGGTGTCAAGAGTTTTTATTGGGGGTTTCATTGCACAAGTACGATTGATTGGATCATTGGCCACATGATTGAACTCAATCTCTAGTCCCTCTTCTCTCCCCTCCCCAGAGTTTTCTCTAGCTGAAAGCCCCAACACTCTAATCACATGGTGGTTCTTTCTGGTGACCAGCCCCCTTCCTGAGCCCTCTCTCCTTAGCCTAAACTCAGATGTCTTCCCAGGAACCTGGGACAAAGGCTAATCAACTTCTTTATTATACAACACTACTATATATGAGAGACTAAGGTAGGTACTGGAGTGGGGAGAGAGATTCCCAGCTTGAATGGAAATACCGAGTTTAATAAAATTTAACTGTCCTTAAAGTTAACAAAAGATGAAGATGACTGTGTCAGTTGGATGATCTAGATCAGAGGAAACTAAATTATTACTGAAGTAAGCTGCTTAGAGTCAGTCAGGATCTGGCCAGCCACTTACTAGTTATGTGACCTCAGGTGAGTTACTTATGTTTTTTAAGACGCAGTAAAGTATACAAATGAGGATTGTCTTTTAGAATTAAATGAGATTTTGTAATAGCCCATCGCCAGCCACATTGAGGGCACTCAATGAAAGGTAGTTTTTTTGGTCTTAAACACTGGCTAAGTTTAAGCTGAATACATGGAAACAGTGAAAATAAAAGAGAAGTTTATATAATTGAGATGGTAAAAATTAAATATATAAAACGCATTCAAAGTGTTTTTTAGTTTCTTGCTCTAACAAAAATATTTGAGTTTAGTGTTGTTTAAACAGTAAGTATCCCAGCTTCTCATCATCATTCATACCTGAATTTTTATGTCTCTGCCATTGCTACCCATTACCTGGTGGCATCTGTTACGTGCAGTGCAGAGATAACACTGTGAAGGAAATGAAAGCCAGGATTCACAGATGGGCTTCAAGGAGTCCATAAATCCCCTAAAAATACCTCTCTCGTCCTTGGCACCCAGGGGGTCCCTATTTGCATGCAAACTCCACTTTGTAATGAAAAAGACAATTTATAAACGTCACAGAACATTTTTAGGTACAACTACATCAGGAACGGTTCATCTAAAGTGTTTCTAAACTTGAATGTACGTAAGTCACCTGGACATCTTGTTAAAAATACAGATTCTGGTTCAGGAGGTCTGGGATGGGAACTGAGAGTCTGCCTTTCTAACAACCTCCCAGGTAATGATGCTGGGGCTATTGGGTAACCAGACTTTGAGTAGCAAGAATCAGGTCTGGAAATAGAAGTGGTTTCTAGTGTTTTCTTCAGTATGTTACTTAGCAGACTATTTTTAAATTTCAAATTATTTAAGTTATCTCACCAAATCCTCTAATAATTTTTCTTCACATTTAACCGAACCATAATTTTCACTTATTTTCAACACAGTACATACAATAAATTCAAAATTGTTTTAGTATCTAAAGAGTAATTCAGATGTTTAAATTTTCCAAAATAGCCCCCCCAGCTGTGATAGTTTGATTAAAAAACAACCATCACAGACTATCATAATTGAAACCTGTGTTCTTCAATGAATATTTAAGTTAAAATTAGAAAAAAAATTGAAAGTGTACACAATAACTTAATGTCCTTGTCCTCCCACTTCATCTAATGTCATAATTCTTTGTGTCACTATGAAAATACTCTTCATTCCTTCCTGGTATAATCCTTTGTCTATTTACTTCTGCCATAAAGCCCCCTAAATCCAAAAGGACTACAGAGAACAGTATGTGAAGCCAGGGGATTGTCTCTGACCTTAATTAGGAAGTCAACCTTTTCCAGTGACTTCCATGAAATTGTCCTTTTCTAACTGGCTCCACTATTTAAACTCACTGTTTTATCTTAATTTGATTATCATGTATATGTTATTCTAATTATTAAATTTATTTGAAATTTTTAGTAGCTCTAATTGAGCTACCAGTTGTAACATCTTTATCATTTATTTTATGTTTGGACTATGGAAAATATTGGATTTTGTGGTTGAATGAACTATGGGTAGAGAATAGGATAAATACAGCTGTGTCTCAGGTCTTCTAAGTGAAGAATTTTTTTACATAGGCATTTAAATACTTTTTATCTTATTTATAATTAATTTACCTATTAATCAGCATTATGATACCTTATGTCATAGGAATTAAATCAGATGCTCTCAGAAACACCACCAGTTTGGAAAGGATCATCAAAGCTATTTCGAAATCTTAAAGAAAGAGGTAAGTTAACTTTAGTACTTAGGCATTTTAATATTGACACAATATCACTTATACTGTTTATATATACAGACTTCCTCATACTTAAAATAATTTTACAGCTATGTGTGTGTGTATGCGTATAGAGAAAAAACTGTTGAAGAGAAAAACACAAAAATATAAATAATAGTTGTTTCTAGGTTGTGGAATTAAAGGTGGTTTTTATTTTACTTTTTATATAATTTATATCGTCTGAATTTTTTACAACAAAATTAACTATTACAGGTTAAAAAAACATTTTAAGCATATTGAGAAGTGTAGGCTATATTTATCCACAGAAAGCATTTTTTAAAAATACTGATCTCTGTATGTTTTACTTCCAGGGAATTATAGATTTTCCTAAATTTAATCAGTTTGAAAAAGTTATTGGATTTGTCATTGACCACCCAATTTGAACATGTCTTTTAAAACAACATTTACTGCAAAATTCACTTATTTCAACCTACTCTATTATCAGTATCTGTGTGTCTCATTTAACTCACTAATTCATACATACAGTCAAATTATATAGCTTTTACTGCAATTTTCTTTTGCAGTGTAATTTTTGTACACATTTATGCAAAAACTAATAAAATCTTTAAGATTAATTTAATCTTAAAAAGGAATGTTTCTTTGAAATGTAATTTTTATATTCTCAAGTATAAGAATATGTGAAATAAAAATATTAAAGAAATTATATAAAGCTACCTTTTTCTTTTTCATCAATTTTAACCAGTACTGGTTTGAAAATGTATTTACTGTAGCATGAAGACAAATAGTTTAAAGTAGTTATAATCCATATATTTTATCTAAGTAAAATTAGAAATTAAAATTGCTTCCACCTGGTTCTTATGGAATCTGAAAGGAGGAGACACTTTTTATCTCTTATTTTAGGCTTTTCATAACATAGGGTTTTTAAATCTTTGCAAAATCTGAGCCAAGTTATCTTTAAAACTCTTAGAATTTTCTTCCTGGAAGTTGTCTTAAATATTGCCATTCAACTCTTGGGGTGGGATGGTAAGATCAGGATATATACTCCCCCAAATCATTTTGGCTGGCAGTTAGTAGAGGGGACTGTGGAGACAGAGCACCCACTCCCCCATCTCCTCCTTCCCCTGTATTGGTGCTTCCTTCTCCTTTGTTGTCTTCCTTTTGAGGGATCCCTGTGGAATCTAGGTATTGTATCTTTATACACATTGACCATTCCACAATCTTTCTCCCGTAACAGTCATGGCAGTCAACCAGAACTATGTCTATAGGTCACAATATTCTAGTATAAACAAAAGAGGGGAATGCTTTCAGGGCTCCTGCTCTTTCCCTTCATGTCTCCTGACAGACTGCCTGACAGACTCCTCTTCTCTTTGTTCTGTCACAAAGAGGTAGCCTCAGAGGACACCAGATAAAATGGAGGTTTAAAGTTCACAATCTGATTGTGTGAGGATTTTTTATACCCTTTCACCAAACATCAGGACTATCTGATATCTGGGTAAGTGTTATTGGCTTACTCCAGATTTTAATTTTCTCAGGATCCACTTGGAAAGTCAGTAAATGCATTAATTCTAGTTTTGAGTATTATAGTCCAAAAGCAAGAATTTGAGTAACAGGATGTATATTTTTATTTACGCCGAACTAACTCCTTTTAAAGTTTGTAATTCTGGGATTACAGAGAACTCAGGCTGCAATATACAAAAAGTATAAGCCATGTAATTAAAATAAAAATTTCTTAGATTACATTTAATAGAAGCATTAAGTTGATCAATGATGATGATAATTTGATGGCAGAAAAAGGATAACTATAGAGTTTTGTTTTTTGGATGCAATTCAGAAATCAAAATTCTCAGCAAGAATGTCTAAATGTTTTATTCAACTGTTACTAACACTTTAAAATGTTAACCATTTCCAAACTTTTTATTTTATGTTTGATTCATACACTGAAAACTAGCCATAAGTTTAAAAGTTATAGCTATAAGTAAACATTATAATTTTGATCTTTATTGCCAATATATCTGGAAGCATTAATGGGAATTTTATATGGGTTTCTACAGACATATGAAACAATGAAAGTAAAATTAATTTTGTTGCTTTTTTTTGCTATGATTTTATAATAACAGTTTAGCCTCATTTAAAACAATACTTAGCATCTTCTTTAAAACTGTAAATTCTTTATTAATATTACTTATTGCTATTACATTTTACTTGATAAATATGTAGAAAAAGTAATTTTTTTATATAGCATAACTGGTATTCTTTTTCTTCTAGGTGTGATTTCTTACACAGAATATCTTTTTCTTTTGTGTATTTTAACAAGTAAGTGTATTCATTAAATATATTTCTGGATGCAATTTTTTTTTAAATCAGAATTTTAGAAAGCAAATCTTTCTTAGATTCTCTTACTATTGAAAATCACTGTAGGCCCTGGTTAGTGTGGCTCAGTTGGTTGGGCCATGGAAGATGCTAAGCATGGCATGTCCCAAGTCAAAATATTATCATGGCTTACAGTATAGTAGTAAAATGTTCATAAATTATAAATTTGCTATCGTATATCAATCCCTGCGGTTTAATCTACATGAAAGCCTAAAGGTCAGGTTTAATCTACATGGGAGCCTGAACGTCAGGGCTTGTAGTGATTCGTAAATTTCCTGCTACACTCATTTGAATCACATTTTCTGCAAGACTAGTGTGGAAGAATGAATCTTTTAACTAGTAGCCCTATCAGAATGCCCATCATACATCCTCAGACAGCCTCACTTTTATCTTCCTCTTATATGCAGCAATTCTTATAAACTATATGAATGGTTTACTAAGGCTTTCAGTTAAATTTCAGTGCGTTTAACGGTGGAACTGTTCTCCAGCCGCCTGACCTTTCTATTCCTTTATTCCCACCTCAGAAGTGTGCACTTTCTCCTCCCTCTGCCTTTAGTGCTTTTGCTCAAGATCCTTATGATCCTTTCTAAACTAGCTCCCTGCCCCATCTCTCCCTTTTATCCCTTTACAGGGTTTTCTTTTCTGCGTAGCACTTGGGGTGTCTGAAAGTATTTGTTTATAGGTTTACATGTTCTTGTCTATCTCACCACCTTGAGTGGAAGGTCCATAAAGGTAAAGTTTTTTCCCTTTTTTGTCCATTTTTGTATCACGAACAGTGTTTGACACATGGTAGCCTTTAAAACATAGTTGGTGACTGAGTAAAGAAAGACATGAATGAAAGAATATCGTGCCCTGGCCGGTGTGGTTGTTCAGTGGTTAGAGCGTTGGCCCGTTGACTGACGGGTCCCAGGTTCAGTTCCAGCCAAGGGCACGTACCTCGGTTGCAGGCTCGATCCCCCGCCCTAGTCAAGGCAAGTGCGGGAGGCAACCAATCGATGTGTCTCTCTCACATCGATGTTTCTCTCAATCTCTCTCTCTCTCTCTCTTCCTTCCACTCTCGCTGAAAAGCAATGGAAAAAATACCATCTGATAAGGATTAAAAAAAGAAAAAGAATGAAAGAATATCTGCAGCAGAATTTCCCTTTGTGGGGATTTGTGGAGATATATGGAAACAAGATGATGATGACTTGAGTTCAGTTGATGATGAATGCTGCCATGAAAATTAGAGGAGCGGGTGCCAAAAAGTATCCCAAAGACTCAGTAAAAAGTTACCTTGTTAGCTAGAGTGACTGTGGATACTAAATTCGAAGTTAGTAGAGCGATAGGTAAGACTAAAACAGAACTAGTTAAGAAAGCCAAGATGGGACGAGGTATGGTTTAAGGGTGTTGGAAAAACACATATGGTGGTTTTTGCTTACTATGGAAAGGTAAAGACTTTGGGATGCTATAAATCTTCTTTTGGAGTTCAGGACCCCTCTTAGAAACTTCTAGAAGTTTGAATTTTAAAATTATGGATATTGTTTAGATTAGAATCAAGAAAAATGTGAAAAGAGGGCTGGCAGGAGGTGGGTTAGATATTCTGTTACCTGTCTATAGTTTCTTCTCTTTACTTTTTATTATTTTGACTTTATTTTCCCTTCCAAACAATGGTTGTTAGGGCATCCTTTCTCTCTCTGTATTTTCATGGTCTTTTTAAAGCTTAAAACTTGGTCATTAGAGATAGTGTAGCTTTTTCTTTCTTTCTCAAGTGAATAATAATGAAAGTAAATTTAGAATCCTAAAATACATGCAATAAATGAACTTGCATAAAAGATTGGCTTCTATTTCCTTTATTTTCAGAGACAGTTATTACTGGTTAAGAAAGTAGGTCTATGTGCTTCTCTTTTGCTATATTCAAGATTTCACAACAGGTAGTGGCAAGTGTAGCTGTGGGAGGTCCCTTTTTAAACTTTTTGCCAGTCATCTCAAAAGAGTAGGTCAAGTGTTTTGTAAAAGGCATGTACACTGAGCTCTTTTAACATGTTCAGGTTTTCTTGTGTCCAAGTTTTCTTTTTTATATTTTAGAAGTGAAGAGAGAGAGAGGATTGAACCTCTTTCTAGATTCACGAAATTAAAGCCTTTCATAGGGTGTGAAAGCCTGTCTCTTTCAGAAAAGTAATTATTCCTTGTATTTTGGGGGTAACTGGTAATTAATTATTTAAGCCTTTTATTTCATTTTTCTGGTTTTGAAGCCTCTAAAAGTTTAAACCCAAATATGTAATCTCTCATGCTTGACATTTATTTTCATAGGTCATTTCCATTATAATTTTCCCCAGAATTTGGACTAGTTTACTGTGTCATATTTATTTTTAGAAGGGAGGTAGCCAAATGTTACTGTCAGTGCAATGCAACAAGTATCACACAATATTTTTAAAGTATATTATCAATTCTGTTACTAAATGTGCTAATATATGAAGCAGACGTGTGTATACTTATATACAACTTTAATTATATTTACCTGATAGTAACATGTTGGTTTCAGTTTCTTGGTTGAAGAAAATATTTCTGTACCAAATATAAATAACTGCTTACAACTAATATGGATTTTGTAATTTAAAGCCATTTGCCCAAATACTCTTCTGTCTTTTCAGAGCCACATGCAGGTTTTAGAATAGCTTTCAACATGTTTGACACTGATGGCAATGAGATGGTGGACAAAAAGGAGTTTTTGGTGGTATGTATATTATATGCTGAATTTTATCAGTAGTTAAATATTGTTTCCTTATATTTTGTTTTTGCATTATCTGAAATAGTGTTGTAGAAAAAAAGAGTGAAAATTTGATGTCTTCACCTTAATTTAATAAAGAAGTATATTCACATGTACTTTGAATGATTTTTACATTGTAAAAATATAAATTATATTCCATGTATAAAGATGATCATAGTTGTTTACACATTTTTCTGGAAGTTTGAAATGTGTCGAACATTTTCTGTTGCGTGGACAACAGGCAATCCTGTGGTGTTACATATGCCGTTAGTGCTCCTCCCCTCTCATCACAGGGTTGAGGATAGTTTCTCTTCCTTTTCTCTCTCATCTGTTTCTGCTATATTCCAGTCTTGCTCCCATTTTCCTATTCTCTTCTCCTGCCTCTGACGGAAGGCTGGCCTAAAGAGAGAGGAGTGAGACTGCCTCTCGGTGTTTGTCCTTTGATCTTGCTCACCTGACTGGTGCAGCCTTGGTGCTGGTCTGGCAACGTCATTCATCTTATCCTTCATCTTATCACCCCCACCCTGCCTTCCAGAATTTTTCTAGTTTCTTTTTACCCATGTATTACTGCACCTTCTTCTGTGGCAAAATACCTATTTCATTTTTTTCTCTCCAAAATAGAGATTAATATTAATTTATTCCTTACATTAACACAATCTACCCTTAGCATTTATGTTCAACTCTATGTTTACCTATACTCTCCTAGTAAAAACTAACATATATATAGCCATTTTATTTCCTATTTTTCCTTTGTAACAAGCTACTAAAAAATCCCTCAGAAAACCTCATTACTATTTTATTCAGAGACTGGAACATGGAAGAAAAACTATGAAATAATTTTTTTCCATGGTAGGAAAGAGAAGAGATAAAAATCCTCAACAAAAGCTAATTAGTAACCATTCAAAAGGAGGCAAGTTGAGTACTTACTGGTATCTATCAAAAGGTTCAATCTAATGCCCACGTAGCCCTTGTCCCGTGGTACAGTCCCTGAGCCAAGCCATTGAAGCTGGAGCCATGGAGCACCCCTCACTCTAGTCATTTTCAGGATGGCCAGGGGGTGAGAGTGTTCAGTTTCATTACAAAGACAGAGATATGTTCTTAACATATTTTAGGATTTTCAAAATAGGCCTAGTAATCTAAATAATTATCAGTAGTCTTTCTGTGGCAACACTGCCAAGTTACACCCCACTGACTTAAAGATTGACCTTTGGAACTCAGTCCATTGGAAGTTGCCTGTGTCTTTTGGAATACTGTCCCTTTGTGAAGATGGGAGGTAAAAATGATTATGTAGAACTTTTGTTTCCACTCCAACTCATTAAAGCTGCCCTCTCTTTAAAGCTGTGGCTGTACTGCTGCCCCATGTGTGATGTTGGTTGTTTGTAAACAGCAAAGAGTTCTGAAAGCAGAAGGTGGAGTTTGGCTAAGTTATTTGTAGAGGCTTAAAATCTGTGATTCTCGTGCCTATTTACAAAGTGGTTATTAATTACCTTTGCTGAAAAACTTTCCACTAAGAAAAAGCATGGAAATAAATTATGTTAATAAATTGTATTTTGTAATGTATTTTTGTTATTTCATATTTTGGGAGGTAATACATTTTATTTCACTTTCAACTATTGCCATACAAAATGAAATGAAGAATTAAGATAGCTGTTTACATCACACAGACAAGAACAACAGCCTCACCAGAAAACTTAATAGAGATAGGATTAGGCTTCCATTTGTAAAATAGGATTTTAGAGAGGAAATAATGCCATTTATAATAATGGCTACAGTCTATTGAGAAGTTACTATGTAACAGGCAGTGTGCTAAGTAATTACTTGTGGTATTTACTCTGCACAGCATTCAAATAAGACCTGTTAGTTATACCTCCATAAAGCCAGAGGGGGGGAAATGTCCTCTAAGGTAAGGCATTATCAGTATCTTCGTGATGCCGAAAACAAGCCTTGAATAATTAGAGTAACTTGCTCAAGGGTTATATATGCAGATCCCATGCTCCCACCACAATGCTCAGTTACTGAAAAGACCTTAGAGGTCATCTAGTCCATCTTAATTTAATATATAAGCAAATTGGAGCCTAGCAAGAGTTAAGTGACCTGTCCACCACCATAAAATTAGTGTGTAACAGAAGATGGACTCAAACCAAAGGCCCTGAGTTCTATTCCAGTGTTCTTTATACCCCAGTGGGCTTCATCTCTTTTTATGTGTGTGCTACAAACTCCATGTCTTTGTGTCTTAGAGATAAAATTCTTTGTCTCAGGAAAAAAAATTGGTATCAGAAAATATATCTATAGTACTTTTAATGTTATTTGTGGATGAAGCTAGCTGTTTTCTCTGTTTTTAGAATGTCCCTAGTATTGGATGGTAGGTAGGTACCCAGAAACTCTTGTTTGATATTTGATTCTTGATTGATTTCCTTTTCAGCTTCAAGAGATATTCAGGAAAAAAAATGAAAAGAGAGAAACTAAAGGAGATGAAGAAAAGCGTGCACTGCTGGTAAGAATAATTTATAGTAGTTAGAGGTGGGCTTTCTACATAAGAATTACTTATGTTGAAAACAATAACTAAAGTCTGTAACTTTGGAGCTGTACCTTTCTTGAAACCTTTCTGAAGTTCTTATGTAGAAAAATTGCTTCAGTATTGATATGCATCGATATCAATATTTATATCAAATATTGATATTACACATCTGTATCCATAATTACATTCATGAAATCATTTTTATTCATATTGTTGTTATCCATGAGATTTGATTAATCCAGATTAATACAGATCATTGTGCATATAAAATTTAAAGGTGAATTGCAAAGATTTAATTACACATGTGAGTGAATTTAGTGGTACTATAACAATATGAATGTTGAAGCAAAAACAGGGAAATAATGTTATTTTGCATTCTTAGAAGTATGTATTATAGATTCTTCTTCTGGGGTGTTGATTTCTTCTTACAGTGAAGGTAGAGTTAAGCAACATTTCACTCCATTTTCCTACTTTTGCTTGCCCCAAATTTTTCAACCTGACAACATCCCAGGTTCACATAAAAAAAAAAATAACAGGTACAGGTACTGAGACCTTACTACCAGGCACTATACTAGATGCTTCACATGCAATTTCTCATTTAATCTACCCAGCAGTTCTCTTATTATCTGTAATTATAGATACAGAAACAGATAGTTGGAAAGGTTAAATATCTTGTTCAAAATTGCATAGCTATTAAATGGCAAAGCCAAAATTTGAACCCATGGCTGGCCAACTCCAAAATCTACACTTTTACTCACTATAGCATATTTCTTCATCTAGTACTTAGATAGCAGAAACATGGTGAATTTTGTTGGCATGTAAATAATTTTTTCATTTGCAAATTAGTGACTTGCGTTGGTCTACCAGGAATTCAAATAATTAACTTCAGAGAGTTACAAGATTTTTATTCTCATTGTTATAAGTATATGTGTCAGATTTTGGTTTTGTTTTTTAAATCCTCACTGGAAGATATGTTTACTGATCTGAGAGAGAGGAAGGAGACAGAGAGTGAGAGAAACACCGATTGGTTCCCTCTCGCATGTACCTGACCGGCGATCAAACATGCAACCTAGGTATGTGCCCTGACTAGGAATCAAACCTGCAACCTTTGTGGTGTCCAGGGACAGTGCTCCAACCACCAAGCCACCCGGCTGGGGCTATGTATTAGTTTTTTTTAAAAACATATTATTTGTAGAGGATGGGTGCCATATTCAATCCCAGTAGATTTGTAAAGTGTGTATTTATATTTATATTAATAAAAGCAGATTATTGGGATTATGCAATACATATTATTTCATGGGATGTTTGACTGCTATGTCAGTATCTATCGACCCACCCCCAATATACTAACTGACAAAACTTATGGAAGGCCCTCTTTAAAAAATCAAAGCATTGATTACAATGTCAGCCAGGTATTAAAGGGGTAGTAAGAGTTCTCTAATTCAGGTCTCATGGTTTTCAAATTGTGATCAATAAATCCTATATGAATTAGCCCCATAAACGTAATTTTTTAGAGTCTTAGCAAATAACACTAGAGAATTAAATACCTTCATAAATTTTATTTCCTGTAGATAATATAATATATTGAAAGAGTAAACAATTATTTTAATTTTGATATATTAGTAGCTATAATTGACTGGATAGACAAGTTAAAATATCATTTAGGAGATTGAATTATGCTAATTAATCATGATACACCTTATTGATAAAGTAAATCATATTTTAGTGGATAGCAATTTAAATGTATTATTTATTTGTTTATTTATACTACTTCCAGAAAGGACTTATGGATCTTCCAGTCAAAGTACAATAGGTACTATTGTAATCATTAACATTTACTAAAATATATAAGTCTAGTAACAGGGGGATAGAGGAAAGAGAAATAATAGCAGACAACTCAAATTGGGAAAACCTAGGGTCAGCACAAAACTTGGCTCTGAACTTCATTGTATCCCAGGTAAGGTAAATTTAATAGTGACTTAATGTAATTAGACTGTAATAGTGACATAGTAAAACATCATTAACTTGGATTAGTTAGGGAAAGTGTATCTGAATTATGAAATCTAAATTATATCAGCATACCCAAAATTGTATTATTTTATATGCCTATTGATCGGTGAAGCATTCCCTAACAGCTATATGGGGAAGGAGACTTATTTTAAAGAACAAGTAAAAATTAGTTAGAAGTAGTATATAACTTATTTCTATGTAAAGGAATGCATGCTAAAATCATTGATCTCTATGGAGACCTCACATGTATTTATCTTTCATAGTTTAATTAGTGCTCGTGAAATCTCATTTACCTAATTTAGCTATGAGACTATTTCTTAAAACAGCCTTAGCCCTCTATGACAATACAGCTCTCTACAAATGTTTGTTACAGTGTTTAATGACAGTTAGTGGTAACTTATTAATATTTGTCACATTTTAAATAATGCAAATATGAACTAATGAGATTTTTTAGTTTTGAAGCAATTAAATTTTAGTTTATAGTGAAAATATATGGATTATATCAGAGAGACAGCATAGCACAGGCTCAGGAGCCAGATTTTCAGGGTTTGAATATTAGCGCTGCCCTTCATTACCTGGGTAACCTTGAAAAAGGTTTTTAACATCTCTGTGGCTCAGTTTTTTCATTTTTACAAAGGGGATCAGAGGAGTAATGATCACATGTGATTGTTGTGGGGTATTTGTAAATGAGCTAAAACATGTATCCACTTAGCAGTATGTGAGATAAACACTCAGAAAGGAATTAGTAGAACCACGTAGCTACTTGAACTGAATATTTACATACCCAAATCAAAATTAAAACCAAATTTAAAAATATTTACATGCCAAATAAAATTAACTATGCTTCAGAGGGAGAACAGAAATGAACACAACATTTCTTGGGACACTCATGTGCTAAGTTCTGTGCTATAACTATTATAAATTTTACTTCCATTTGGTCCTCATTATGTTTCTCTCAGGTAAGTACCATACCTGTTTTACAGATGAGAAAACAATCAGATTTATTAACTTGCCTAAGGTCATGGCACTAATAAGGGCAGGACAAGATTCCATCACAGGTCTCATACCATTTCCACTGCCATGATGCTACATTTAGATTTCCCCCCTGTGGCATATAGAATTGCTGAAGTATATCTAAATAAAATTGCATGCTTTGGAGGAATGTTACAACTTTCTCTATCAGAAAGTTACAATGAAAATGGTTGGAATGGGCACAGATTCATTTAATGTTTAATTATATGAGATTTTTTAAACTTTGCTACTCATCTTTAACATTTATCCCACTTGTGTGTGTGCTCTATATAGAATGTAGCATAATGATTTGCCCTTCTAATTGATTATTTTGTCATCTTTTTCTTTTTTTCTTTTGCAATACTTGGGTTCATTCTGAAATTTGACACCTCATTTGGCCCTCTGTGCTCTATGTCAGCGTCTTCAACTGTATGGATACCATTCACCTACTAATAGTGTATGTACAATACTTTCAATGTTCTTTATGTGAATAGCCCTCACCTGATATACTTGATAATGTTATTTCATTCTATAAAGCCGTATCTGCTACTGAAAATGTTTAGCAATTTATTGAATATAATAAGATGCAACCAAGTCAAAATGTTTTATTTCCTTCCTAGATTTATGAGAATAAAATTTACAGAGTAATTGTATATCTTTAACTTTAGATTAAAATAAAGAAAAGTGAGTGAACAACAACTCTGGTAAACAATTGAAATTTTATAATTTTCAGCAGTATTTAAAGAATAAAATACAAATTATGGAACAGATTTTCAAACTGTGCTCCTGCAAACACAGGTATTTTAAGAACTAGATCTACATATCTGATATACATTATTTTCTCAATTCTAATACAGAGGTATGTTAATGGATAGACTTTTCTTAGTTTTCAGTATTTCTTCCAAATTTTTTTCTAAAACCTTTGATGCCTGCCTGTTGCCAATGATATATACAAAAGTCTGGTATAAGATGACATTAGATATGTTTAATATATGAATGTATCATGATGTTTCTCAAAGAGGGTTATGAGTTTCAGACTCCTCCTCACAAAGTTGGGAGTTCTGTAAATGATATTCCACATGTACTCTTTTTTTTTTTAATATAATTTTATTGATTTCAGAGAGAGGAAGGGAAGAGGGAAAGAGAGAGATAGAAACATCAATGATGAGTCATTGATTGGCTGCCTCCTGCACGCCCCCTGCTGGAGATGGAGCCTACAACCGGAGCATGTGCCCTGACTGGAAATCGAACCACTATCTCCTAGGTCATAGGTCGATGCTCAACCGCTGAGCCACATCGGCCGGGCTGTACTCTTCTTATGCTAAGCTTTCTTCTTTGCTTTCTCCTGGAACGTTGAGCTTGTTGGTTAGCCCAACTACTAAACAACTAAAAATAGGCCATGCCCCTTTTGAATGTAAACATGAATGATTCATTTAATTTCCAAGGTTAGAAGGATCCCTCAAATTATGTAAATTACACCAGAGCCTTGAATTTAGGGTAACTGACTGGATATTATCAAAGTGTTCAGTTATAGTATGCAACTCTGTAAGCAGCTATATGCTGCCTGCTATGTTGGATAATCAAAATTCCAAGATACAAAACCTAACTCTGTTCTAGATGTGAACATATACTGGAGGCTGATTCCATATAACATTAACCTAAGGTATCTTGCCAAAGTCACAAGGAATGGACCTAGAATTGGCTGGAGAACAAGCCAAGTCCATGGGACCCATATGATAGACTAGGTCTTTTGATTCCTTATAAGATACTTATATATATTATAAGATACAAAATTCACTACTGTTTGTCATTAAATAAGGCCTACCATTTTCTTAAAATTTTAAAAAGATTTCTCTGTTTATTATTTCAAAGTGTCTAAGAATATGAAAGATAAAAATCTTATAGATTATGCTGCCATATGCCTGTGAAACTTAATAAATGTTAATACTTATGACTTCATTATTTATTTTTCTAATCTAATATGTCATTGCATGAGCCATTTTCCAACTGTGGCAATTTATAGTTTCCTTTAAATTCATAAATAATTTTCAAAAAATGCAAGCAAACATGGAAAATTCATTTAAAATTAGAACAATTTCAGGTAGCCTAAAAATTTATATGAAATACCATTGGTGTATGTATTGCACAAATATATTAGTATAATACTGTGAATTAACTGGTAATTACCTGCTAGTTTCCAGAGCTGTAGATCAACTGGAGTGAGAAAGTGTCTAATTTGAGTGCAATTCTTGGAGCTGAATATAACCTAAGAGTCTACCTTTAGGGAGAAGTTCCTCCGTCAAGGCAGAGGCCCTCTTGACTTTTACTGCGTAGGCAGAGATTCCGTGTCCTCTGCAGCAGCCTGTTCCAAGGTGTAATCACCCCTACAGTAGATTGCCACCTGTGCTCTGCAGATTACTTTTCGCTGCAGGTCTTGCTTCAGTGTTCATGAGGATCTTCACCTTAGAACCTCTTCTGTTCCAAACAACCCCAATTCTTCTCACCTTTCTCATATAGCCAACTCTTCAGGATCTTACCGCTGTAATAAAAAGATATACAAGGAATTCAAAAGAATAAATAATGCAGAAGTCAAGTATATATGATACAAGCATGCCTTGTGTGACTTTTTAAAGTATTTAAAGATTGTCTTAATTACTCTACTTTCATTGTAGTCAAAATCAAAATATGTACTAATTTTTATACAGTTTGTTGACGTGTTGAGACTTGTTTTATGGACTAAAACAATGTCAATATTCATAAGTTATCTGTGTTTGAAAAAAATGTGTATATTCCAGTTTGGGGTACAGGGTTATATTTTTAAGATAGGTAATATATCAAAATACATATATATTAGAGCAAACATATTAATTCTTTTAAATCTCTGTCATTACTAATGTTTTTGTCTGCTTGATCTGTCAGTTAGTATGTAAAATTATACATTACATTGATAAACTTGTCAATTTCTACTTATAATTCTGTTATTTTTTATTTTATATATTTTAAAACATTGTTATTACCTATTTAAGAATATAAATTACTTATATCTTTTTAGGGAGTTGACTCTTCTATTATATACTATCCCTAGGTCCCTAGAAATGTTTTTGTCTTAAATTCGATTTTGTTGTTAAAATAAATATACCACTTTTATTTTTATTAATATTTTGTTATTTTTCTATTTTGTGTTTTTTTATTTTCTATTTTTTCTCCTAGTGATGATGAAGCTTTTCCTGATTTTTAAAATATATTTTTAGTTCAGAAATTTACTGCAAATAAATAAAATAAATAATAACAAAAGTTTAATGACCATATAGATAAAAAATAAACATTGCAATGCTCCAAAAAGCTCCTTCATATTACCTCTTCAATCGTAATCCTTTCCTCTTCTCCGAAAGATAACTACAATCATGACTTTTATGTAAATCACATATTTATTTTGAAGTTTTACCACCTATTTGTATATGCATCATAAATATAATTTCGTTTTACCCATTTTGGATCTCATATAAATGGGATCGTATAGAGTTTTTCATGTCTGTCGTCTTTTACTCAACATCACGATTGTCAGTTTCATTCTCATATCTAGTATTAGTTCATTCACTTTTATTGCTGTAAGTAGCAGTTCCCAAACATTTTGGTCTCAGGACCCCTTTACATTGTTGAAAATTACTGAGAACCCCAAAGAGCTTTGGATTATGTTGGTTATATCTATCTATATTTATATTAGAAGTTAAAGCTGAGAAATTTAAAAGTATTTATTATCCATTGTAAAATAAAAAACTCACATGATAACAAACATTTTTATGAAAAAATAACTCCAAAAACTTAGTGAGGACAGTGGTATTTTACATTCTTTGCAAATCTCTGTAATGTCTGGCTTCATGGAAGACAGCTGGTTTCTCCTAGATGCTTCTGCAGTCAGTCTGCTGCAGTATGTTATTTTGGCAACAGATACTATCGATTGCTTCCCTTGGAGTGACAGGCTCACTTGGTTCACTTTAAAAAAAAAAAAAAAGTCTGCCAGATACCAAAGTCTGAACAACCATAGTTTGTCTATCAGTTGTTCTTTCAAGTAAAAATGATTGTTCATGAAAAAAGTGGCCACTTCTCTTTTGAATACAAACTACCGCTCAAATGTTTTTCCTGAAGACAACCATATTAATTGCTTTAGTAGGCAGAGGTGCTGTGCATGCCTCCAGTCTTTCCACACCAAACATTGCAGATACGTGTGCTCAGAGGTCACTTCACAGAACTGTAAGTTTATTCTTCAGCAAGCACATTTGTAAGTAAAACTCTTTTTTAATGTGAGTGTATGGAACTGAAGAATGTAATGGCTCTGGTCTTTGGTGCCACCGCTGTCCTTATACTAAGATGTCAGCGGTTTTACCCACTGTTGCTTTTGCAACATCAGTGTGACTGTCAACACAGTACCAGAGACAAAACAATGTCTTTAAGAGACTTTGCAGAAGACACCTGTTTTATATCTTGTCCAGCTTTTTTAGTTTTTCTCTAGCCTGTCATTAATAAAAGTCTGGTATATCTTTTTTAACTTCTCTCTTTCCTTATATTTTAGGTGTCTCTTTACTAAAAGTATATTTTGTGTATTTTATTGGTTCCTTTTTATCTGGATTGATATCTGTGGTTTCTAATTGTATTTACTAATAGTAAAGACAGTTTACTGTTTGATTCTGTGGGCTGCTATTTTGGTGGTTATTTTTTCATGGTGTGCCTAATCTCTGAGTACAGTATAACCGTTCGCAGACCCTAACTGTACATAGGGTATTTTCCTGTTTGGACGTGGACAACTCTAGGAAGCCATTATTCTGCTCACACAGTGATGTGTTCCCATCTCTAAATCAGTCTTCCTTTTTTCTAACTTTTCCTTCCTTTCATCTTGACTGTCTCTCTTCCTTTTTTCCTTCCTTCTTTCCTCCTATCTTAGTCCATTTGGGCTGCTCTAACAAACTACCATAAACTAGGTGGCTTATAAAGAATGAACCTTTTTCACTGTTATGGAAGCTGGGAAGGCCAAGATCCTGGGGCCAAGAGATTCGGTGTGGGGGCTGATGAGGACCTACTTCCTGGCCCATAGGCGGCACCTTCTTGCTATGTCCTCTGCTGGTGGAAGGGGCAGGGAGCTCTCTCTGGCCTCTTTCATAAGAGCACTAATCCCATTCATGAAGGCGCTGGCCTCAGGACATAATCACTTTGCAGAGGCCCCCCACCTCTTCCTAATACCATCATCTCGGCAGTTAGGATTTCAGCAAATGAAATTTTCAGACCATAGCTTGACCTTTCCTTCCTCCTTCCCCGCCTCCCTCGTATCCTTCCTTCCTTTGCCTTTTCCTTGCATCATAAATGTCATGGAATGCCTGGCATAGGATCATGCTTTGGCTCAGCCAAAAAGGTATAAGGAATTCTTGACCAAAACTGCAAAGTTTAAGGAAGTTCTACTAATAACAAACCCTAAACTGAGGCTAAAAATGTATCTGACTTAAGAGATACAGTATATTCAGGACATCATCTTGCCTGTACCATTCATTTTTAAGTCCTTCAGAACTATCTTTCTCTTTTACATCTCTTAATGAAGGCCTACACCTACCTTACACTCTGGTAAGGAAGCCTAAAGCTCATAGAGTCATCAAAGACACCAAGAAGACTGAAGGAAGTCTTTGCCAATTTTTCTAATATTTACATATCAAAAGATTATAATATCTGTTGTATAATCATCATAGTACTCAGTTATATTTGGACATGTTCCCCTATCAATCTTTCCTTCACCTACATGCCCATGTTCTGATTTTGTATTTGCTTTGCACTTTTTGCTATTAAAATCTATTTTGATTTTTGTGGCTACCTTAAGTTTATTTTAAATATCCTATTATATTTTTCTGGTATTAAAGATTTCTACTAGTTTTGCATGTTCTCAAAAATTTACTCTTAATTACATCATCTAAGTCATTATGTAATTAAATACTGGCTCCTGAACAGACACACATAAAGGACTCAGTGCCAGGAAAATCAATATATTAGCTATATTTCCTTTTAATTATATTCCATATATTTATTTAACAATAGGCATGACAGTAGTTGCTGTGAGAATATTGTCCCTTCCCTCAGAAACTTTATAAATTAAAAGACACTTTAAGATAATTGCAGCCAGTCAGTTATATATTCTAGCATGATTTAACCTTTGGAGCTAAATAAAAGATGGGAAAGCTTTCTGCAGCAGGGGACTATTAAGCTGTTATGCCCTAAATAAGACTTTTTTGTGTGTTAAAAAGTTATATATTATCCTGACAGATAAATATACATTCTTATTTTAAAATATAGAAATGCGAAAAAGAGAAAATAAAAAATATTCTAATGCCACCATTCAGAGATAATCAGTATATTGGAGCATATTTACTTCTTTTTATATGTGCAGAAAATATATTTTTTCTGTAGAGATCCATGCCATTAAACTTTATAAAACTAACTTTATCCCTTAGTAGGCTGTAAATGTTTTTCTAATGTCATCAGTGTTTGCTCGTGCGTGTGTATGTGCGATAGGACAAGTGTTGGGAAGTAGGGAAGAGGTGTGGCTTTACAAAGCAAATCATTTCTGTCACCCTCCTAAGAATAGTATAGTCAGGCTTATTTTCTACCTAGACAGCTTTAATAACCCTTTTCTTTAACACATACTAACCTATGTTACAATTTAAAAATATATCCATGGTCAAAGTATTTAGATAATGTTTGCAGAGTATTTAATCAGCCACCATTTACTGTGGTTCTGCTGTATCTACATAAAAGAAAATGAACTGTGTTAGTTCTGTATTCAGCTCATTTTACACAGCCGTTAGTTAAAGCTCTTATAGTTACTAACGGGGGCAATGAGCAGATCTGTCATAGTGGTAAAGCTGCACCTATGGTAATAAATAGTCTGCATTATAGAAGAGATTCCTGCTAAATACTGTTTTATTAATGTATTTAAAGATTTTATTAAAACATGGGCAATAGGCAGTGCTTTTTTATTAATAATGCATTGAAACTTAGATCTTTGAAATAATTCTCAGTGGGTTATAATTTTTTTTTTAATATATCTTTATTGATTTCAGAGAGAGGAAGGGAGGGGGCGAGAGAGAGATAGAAACATCATTGATGAGAGAGTCATTGATCGGCTGCCTCCGGCACGCCCCTGCTGAGGATCGAGCCTGCAACCCGGGCCTGTGCCCTGACCCGGAATCAAACCACGATCTCCTGGATCCTAGGTTGATGCTCAACCACTGAGCCGCGCCCGGCTGGGCTGGGTTATAATTTTATTAGTGGCGTTGGACTTTTAAAAATTAACACACACGAATAGAAGTTCTCTCATCATCAGCCTCTCACTTCTAAGTGTACCATGCAGCGTCATCTTCTCACGATAACCAGAAAAACACCAAGCCCGAGAACCTGCGAGGCCTTCCCTCTTAAATCAGGACAGAAATGTGCATTTAACTGTCTTTGAGCCTATAAACTCGTGAGCTTGTAGTTCTGCGTTTTCATGTGGAGATTAGACTATACTTCTTAGTTGATATGGCCTTCTTCAGACCCGCCAATGCCGAGGTAGGAGCCTGCCTTCTGTCCTCCTAGCAGAGCAGAAAGTACCTTGTCTATTCACAACAGACACACCTATCAGATCCCTGCGTAGCTTTGAGTAGTTTGACTTAAACTGGCTTATTTCTTTTTGACAAGTTTTGAATGAGTTTAAATTTTGTTTCTCTAAAGTGTGGATATGGTCATTTTGATTCTTTGATGCATTAACACAATGTATGCTAGCCAACAATAATTCATTTTTAAATTAATCGTGATTTTAATTAGTTGCTACAAAATTCCCCAGCTCTTCTACAAGTGAATTTACTTCACATCAGGTGTGAATGAAATTTTTTTTTCACACTTTCTTAGAAGTTATGCATGTTTCAGTAGAGAAGGGCGTGGGGGAGGGGGTGAAGACTATGATTCTTTTTGACAAAGCCACATTGTACTTAGAAAGAGTGGTTATATACCATTACACCTTTGAAAATGCCCTGGGTTTACCAGCAATGTAATAGAATACTGTTGTGTGCAGCAGAAAACAAAAAAGGGAAGCTAATGTGTTTTCCTTTCTTGGATAGGAGAGATTTAAAGTGTATAAATTATCATTCTTTATGACTGTTCTTTAGATTTCAGTTGTGCTTCTTAAAACTCCTACAGGTACTTAAAACAGATGCCGAGGAACTTGTCTCCAGAAGCTATTGGGATACACTGAGACGGAACACAAGCCAAGCACTCTTCTCAGACCTTGCAGAGGTATAATTAAACCCCAACCAGGTCGTCGTACTGCTTCCCATTTTGTTAATCTCATCCTCATTTCATTTTAGTTGTAATAATGGAACCAAAAATATATTTTACATTTTTCCTTCTTCCAGTAAAACTATAGTTTCTGTATACAAGTGGTGTGTTTGAATATGTCAGCTGTGCGGCAGAGGCTGCAAGGTCACCTGTAATAGCCTCTGTTAAATTAACTTGCTTGTTGTAGAAAACACAACTTTCCAACTTAATTAAGACGAAACTGTTATTTTTAACTTAAGGATCACTTTCAGAAAATTTGAAAATACTATTTTAGAGTTTCACAGATTCTAACCTTATAACTTGAAATGTTACATGAAACGATGAAACTTTTAACTTCGGTAAAAGATCTCTAATGCTTTAGAGTTAACAGTAGATTTAAAAAATTAAATTTTCTAATAGTAATAGAGAGTAGCTTAGTGTGGAGCAGGTGTGGTAGGAGCAGTCAGTCAAGGAAAGGAAGGACATTCACCTTGACATTGTTTAGGATTGCCAGTGCACGGAAAATAAAAAGTAGACTGACCGTTATTCATGCTATTTTGGAATTTTATAGAGACACACCTTATTGCTGCACTCAGATTGCCCCCACCACCCACTCTGATTATGCTGCTGTTAATAGGGATTTGTCATTTTAAACAATGGGCTATGTCTTGTAGATTAAACACTGTTTTATGGGGGTTTTATAAGAATCTTTTTTTTATCGATTTGAGAAAGAGAGAATCATCAATTTGTTGTTTCACTTATCTATGCATTCATTGGTTGATTCTTGTTTGTGACCTGACCAGGGATCTAACCTGCAACGCTGGCATATCGGGACAATACTCTAACCCACTGAGCTACTCGGCCAGGGCTTATTTTATGTTTTCTATTAAGAATTTTTAAGAACTTTTTTAGAGATGATTATCAGTCTTACCACAAAGGACTTTTCAGTAAATAGTAAGAGATATATTTTTCATTAGCTTTTTCTTTGTAAAGTTGGTTTCTCATTTCTTTTTCTAAAGTTTGACTTTTAAAAGTTATACCTAAAAATATCTAGAGAAGTAAACTGAATCGGGTGTAATTTCTGTTATTTATATATACAGTGTTACTCAGTTGCAACCTCTGGACTAAGGCAAACACTTAGAAATGCTCAGTTTTTGTCAATTGTACTCAGTTTTAAAATCCCAAAACAAATAAAGCATTTTCCCTATCTCTAATCTGTGCTTGATATATCAATATGATATAATTATGATGAGCAATTAATTAATCTTTTAAAATTACCTTTTAAATTTGAGCTGTTTTTAGGCATGAAGTGGTAATAAATGCTCCATGTACAGATAATTTAGAGGTGCTTAATTCTGTGATCATCTGTGCAGGCACACATTGGAAGTGCTTAGTTCTGTGATCATGTGTGCAGGCACAAAGTAACGACACTATGGTGAGCCTTTATTTGTCACTGCCTAAAAGTAAGAGCAACTTGGGACACTGCCCTTCATGTCCCTACAAGCCACTGTGGCCTCTCTTCCAGTTAAGTCCTGTCACTGTTGTCTCTGTCCGTACTAGACTGTCCACCTCACAACCTCAAAACTATTTTTAATATCTCATTCTGCTAGAAATTCTCACAGTTAGAAACAATCTGTTAATTAGATGTTGAATTTAATTATATCCTGGGAGGTTTAATATCAGAAGACCAGTCAGCTCTTATATACACTCAAAGATTATAAATGATGATAGGATCTTTTGACGATATTTATCACTCTCAGAGGTGTGCTGGAGCTCGCTTTTTGGGGCTTCCCACAGTTAATTCTGTACATCTCTTCCCAGCTCATCATTCTGTTAAGTTCCACTGGCACTTTGAGAGTGCCCCTGATAGGAGTATTAATACCATAGAAATGGCAAAACTCTACAAATCAGGCTTTTTCCCCATGAGAGCCAGCGCACGAGCACACTATTGGCTGCAGCCAATGACACTCTGATTATAAAATGCTAAATTAATTAATGAATTGATTCAAACATCATGAAAGTAAATCTGATGGAGAAGAGAAAGTAGAAAAGAAAAAGAAGAAAACAAAACCTACTGTATTCCAAAGGAAAATGATCATTTGGGAATTATCTCTGTTACCACCCTCCACATTAGAGATGATAACTGAGAATTAACTATGGTTAAGTTACAAGGCATTCTGATTCCTTCTTATAGGTTACTGCTGACACCAGTGTGACATTGAATTGTTTACAGTGTCAGTATTTCAGGATTCAAATTGGTTCAGAAAGAAGGCTTAGAAATCTATTTGTATTTCTTTGTTTCTTATATATTTAAAATGTAAATATTGAGGTAAGCATTTTGCTTCAAATATTGTAGGTAAATTTGAGACTAGCCTTTCATATTCTTCTGCCAGAGCTGTTTCTAACAATAGATGTTTTTCAGTTATAGTAAAACCACATTATAATGAAAATTTAATATGCCACAGCAGACACCACTTTCTAAACAAAATGTTGATAATAAATTTATAGTATAGTATAAGCTTCCCTAAAACAACTGTTGAATACAGTCTGAGTACCAGAAGTATAAAAACTATTTTGAGTTTTATAGATGAAATTAAAAGCTTTTTTGTTTGCTTTAAACTTTACTTGTCATTAATAAATTTCAATAGTTTATTCAGAACCTTTGCCAACAGGCCCTTGGATAGAGCTTGATAAGATTATCACATTGTAATCAATAAAAATATGTTGAAAGAATATCCTTAAAACCCTTTAATACTTTGACATATTTTTATTTTACACAGATTTACTAATTAGTTTATTTCCTTTTTGATGAAATCATTTAAAGTAAATTTTAATCAAAACAAAGTTAGATAATGGCTGTCATGTAAATGACCTGTGGGGTTCTTTTGGGTCAGTTTCTTGCTGTTATGAAAACACCTGAATTCATTTTATTTTAACAATGAGCACAAGAATCAAAGGGATGGAGGCTCTATTTTTGTCCCAGCCGTCCTGTGATGTAAGTTATATAACACTGTCAGGACACCAAGGACTCAGGTGTAGTTTTCTGTTTCAGTGCAGGGGGGAGTTTTCACCATGCCCATTTTCTAATTTTTTTCTCTAATGTCAAACTTTTACTTATGCCTCTGTGGGTCTGGATTATCTGGATAAGTGCAACCTAAGTCTAATAAGATTTTCACGATGAAAGACTGTAAATGAAGATCTGCTCTGCTCCATAGGCATGAGAAAAACTGGCTGAATGAGGTCATTATTTAGAACCTGTGTAAAACAAAGCCATCTTATTCCAGTGTATTAGGTCTTGAGGTAAAGCACATCACAGCACTGGAGAAAGCATTCCATAATTCTGTGATCTGACTTCATTTTTGGTGTTCCTATAACTTCTCATTTTAAAGCATTTTTTTTTTCAGATCTATATAATATACATATGTAGTTTCAGTAACGAAGTAAAAGTGTACCACGTAAAAATCTTTTTTAATTTTGCATTAAGCTTCAACATTATCTTTTCTATCTTATCTAGGTCCTGAATTTCTAAGATAGGTATGAGTTAATGGCCAGCTGAAGAAGGAAGGGAAGGGAATGGAAGGGGAGGGAGGGAGGGAAAAGAAAGGAAAAATCTACAAAGCTACATAAAAGTAAAGCATGTAGATTTTCCATAGGCCATTGAACTTTATAAGGACTGTAGCTAAGCTATTTTAAGAATACATTGTTGGAACTTGGTTTATCAAGTTGAATGAAAGGAAAACCCTCTGGAATTTTTCAAAAACTGATGTAAGACTTTTCTTTGAAAAAAAATTATAGATGATGTAAATTCCAAAGTAATGCTACTGTAGTTTCTCTTTCAAATTATAGTATCTTCTACCTAAAATACCATAAATAAGGAATACAATAGAAAGGTATCATGGTTAAAGGAAGTTATTTAGTAAAGCTTGAGACCATTCCTTTGTCAGCCCCATATGTTGAATACATCTGAAGAATTTACCTCTTTTGAACATCCTAAAAAAAAAAATGATTTTTCAGGTTAAGAAAATTCATACTATAAATTACTTAAGTAAAACTACAATTTTTAGATGATTACTAAAAGAGTTAAACTATTTTAGATAATTTAAAATATAGATACCCTATATGCATAATTTAAGGTAGAAAACTTCCTAAAATATATAATCATATCTTTAAAAATTTCTGAGGATGAAGATAGGTTTTATTCATATTTCTATTTTCTAATGTTGAACTTCATTTTAACTAATGGCATTTATTAATACAGCCTTATGCTTTTCATTCTAATGTTACTATATTTGTGTTCAGATATTTATGTGTTGATAAATTCTTTGAGGGATATTGGGCATCTTTATTCTGTTTGCTTATTGCAGCTAACCTTTAAATTGTGATTTTTTTAAAGCGTGTTGATGACATTACGAGCTTAGTAACAGATACTACACTTCTTGTACACTTTTTTGGAAAGAAAGGCAAAGCTGAGCTCAACTTTGAAGATTTTTACAGGTGAGCCTAATTTTTATATTTGTATTGAAGAAAATGTTAACATGCTAAAGCCAGAAAGGTCTTTAGAATTACCTAGTTCAGTGATGCCTTTTTGCCGCTTTCATCTTAACTAAAGGTACTATGTTTAACAAATACCCACTTCTGTCAGTACCTGTATAGCAGTGGTTTTATCAAGTATAATAGGAAATTACTGAAAAATAAAAAATCTCTGGATATCTGGATTGTTTTTTTAAAGAAAATTTATCTTCATTGATTTCAGAGAGAGGAAGGGAGAGGGAGAGAGAGACAGAAACATCATGGATGAGAGTCATTGACCGGCTGTCTCCTGCATGCCCCCCACTGGGGATTGAGCCCGCAACCCAGGCATGTGCCCTGACCGGGAATCAAACCTTGATCTCCTGGATCCTAGGTCAGTGCCCAGTCGCTGAGCCACATCTACTGGGCTGGATTGTTATTTCCTACACATTCATAAGCATTGCAGTCAACCCTAGACACCACACGTTAAGTCCTTTAGGCTCATCGCTGCCCTGCAGGGATTGTGGTTAGCCCCATTTTACAGATGAGGCAGCCAAAGCCCTGTGAGGCTGAGTGCCACCTCTTATCTCACTCTTCATTTATCTTACTCATTCTTTGTCTATTTTTGTCACAGATTCATGGATAACCTGCAAACAGAAGTTCTGGAAATAGAATTCCTTTCCTATTCTAACGGGATGAATACCATCAGCGAAGAAGATTTTGCTCATATTCTCCTACGATATACGAATGTGGAAAATACGTCGGTATTTTTGGAAAATGTGCGTTACAGTATAGCTGAAGAAAAGGTACTAATCCCCCATCTTTATTTTGTTATGTGTGTTACTGTGATTACATAGGCTTGTAAAACATGTTGTCCTTTGTTAGTACTTTGCTCCTTTGTGGATTAGTAGATACTTTGGATATATTTTATTTTTTTCCTATGTGTCCTAATTGTTGTGGCTAAATTTAAAAAATTGATTAATTTAAAATTCTGGGTAGATATTCATATTTTTCTTAGATGTGCTAAAAACCCTTAAGGTTGTTAACAGTTGTTTTACTCTGATTATGAATACCATTTTTCAAGAGAATTCTGCTGAGCTTTATGCTTTGGCTAATACATAAACATCACCTCATATAGAGCAGTTTATACAGTTTATATTGACATCGTTTCAATCACACTTTGCTCATTTCTATAACATCCTTAGTAAAAGATCATTCAGAGATGGCCATTGATGAGTGAGTGATCTTATCAGCAGTTGAAGTGAGGTTTTTCAAAGAGTTTGTATGCATCAGTGGTTAAGAACCTGGAACAACTGATTGTCTGTTTGTTTAGTAGCAAGTGTTTTGTCAGCAATTCTTCGAAGTTGTGCATTATCTAGTGGTATTTGAATGCATCATTGCAACCAAATAGAACTGGTGCTACAAGTACCCCTTCAAGCATGGGATGTTTTAGATATATTGCCTTCTATTTGTGTTTGTGGAGGGATCAAGTTAATCTATCAAAAAAAACTTTGCAAATAGTTTGACTTTGTTTAAAATAGGAACTCGGTGACAGTGCTAACAATTCTCCATATCCCCTAAGGAATGAGAAAAAAAGACGATGCATTTGGCCATTAGTTTTACATAATCTCTTAATTAGGAGTCTTTTATCAGTTTTACATGTTAAACTGAATTTTTCCAATTCATAGACACTTCTGTAAAAAGAAATATTGGAAATTGTACTATGTCAAACTACTAGGGTATTTTTAAGGCCTTAAAGAATCTGCTTTTTCAAAATTCTTCTATATTATGGAAACTTACAGAAATCTGAAACTCAGAAAATTTAATTCCCCGGTGAAAGGTGGATGGAAGTTAGTATTGTTTTTGGAACTATTTTTCCCATCTACAGTTATTTCAAAATAAAAAGTATTCTTTTAAGTTAAATTCAGCTTCTGGAAACTTCTAATTGATAGAGGCATCATAAACACTACAAATCGTTAAAGTAAGAAGGGGAAATTTTGGCGAATGAACCAGCATTGATTCTAATTGATTTTTTGGTACTATCTCATCAATCCTTAAAACATCTTCCCGATACTGACATCTTTCTTTTAGAAAAGGGGAAGCTGAGGCTCTTGGGTACTTAGACACTTGCTCAAGGATTCAAACCCAGGACCCTAAGCCAGTGATACTGCTATCACACCCCACTTATGTCTTTCCCTTTCTTTCACTCTCATCCCTTCTCTCCAAAAGAATGACAACTAAGTACTGCTTGAATAGCACGTTGCATTTCTAAAATCCTCAAGTTCCATTCGTTTATGTAGCAGGCACGAAATCACCTATATCAAGTGACTAGATAAGCAGTATCCTTCTCTCATGGAAGTACTTAGTGGAGAGAGACAGTAAACAAGTAGGCAAAAAAAACTAAACGACGTATTTTCAGATACTGATAAATATTATGAAGAGGACCCAAAGTCCTAGAGAGTAGAAAAGATGTACTGTTATGGAAAGCTGTTCTAAACACGTAGCTTTGCCGAAAGACTATGAGAAAAGAGCTGTGCAAAGATCTGGATGAGCAGCATTGTGGGCAGAGGAAACAGCAAATACCAAAGTTTGCCAACCTCACCTTAGAGCATAGGCGTCATGTTCATTCATTCAGCAAATATTTATTCAGCAAGCATTTGCTGTCCACTGAGACACTCAAATGTGATCTGACTCATGTGCCAGACAGTCGTGACCCGATATTTCAAAAGACCATCTTGGCTAGTACAGAATAGACTTTAGTTGGCCCAGCTTTGAAAGAAAGAGACAAATTAGGATGTTATAGGAGTGCAGAAAAGAGATGCATGGATTGGACCAGAGTCAAAGTAGGGAAAAGTTGTCAGACATTGGGTCATTTAAAAAGTGGAGTTGATAGAACTTGTTGCTAGGTTCGTCTTCAATATGAAGGAAAAAGGAATCAGGAATTCCCCCTAGGTCTTGGCCTGAACCACCAGGTGAAACTGGTGCCACTTACTGAGCTAATAAGACTATAAGTTCAGGGTTAGGAAAGAATCAGTTGTTTTATTTTGGATAAGTTAAGTCTGAGATTCCAATGAGATATCTAAGTGAAGGAATTCTGCAGGCAGCTGGATATTTGACTCTAGCATTCAGAGGCCCAATCAGGACTACTCTTTAGTGTGCAGACCTCCAAACTGTGTCTCCAGCTGAACCTTCCTCCCTGAACTTCAGATTTTCGCATCATACTGCCCAGTCCACATCTCCGCTTGGGTGTCCCATGGACAGCTCAGGCTCAGTAGCTGCAAAACAAAACTGATCGTCCCAAGAAATCTGGCTGCACACGTCACCTTCCCCGCTTCAATGAGTGGAACCCCATCTTCTTGGCTGTTGCAGCCAAAGTCCCTGACTCCTCCCCTGCACATTCTACACAAATCCTCAAATCCTCTTGACGCCACCTCTGTCAGAATTTGACCACTTGTCATCTCCACTGCTGACACCCTGTTTTTCACTTCAACCAGCATTAACCTGTCACCCTGAGACAGAGGCTGTTGCTGTGGCAGCTGGTCACAGCGTTCACTGATTCAGAACCAGAGCAGTGACCAGTTTCCCTGGCAACAAGCTCTCCACAGCAGGACAAACCCTTTCTGGCTCAGTGTCCCTAATTGATTCAAATGGTCCTCTTTGGAAAACATGACAAGTGGGATTGGGTCACAAAGCAGAGTTCAGGTTTGGAGTTAGCCAACCCTGAATATAAGGAAAGAGAAAGAAAAATGTGAAGAGAAAAGACAGTGAGGGTTCTCCTTGAAAAAAGAGAGATATTATAATTGAAGTGGAAATAACATATACCAAAATTTGTTCTTATTATTTCGATAAAAAATTGATAATAAATATTATTTTGATAATAAACCACTTAATCAGAAGTTCGCTTATATGAAATAGACTCTTCTGGTTCTTTCCCTTAGCTTTCCAGAGCTGCCTTGTTAGTTTCCCTTCCCCTACATTCAGGTCTGAATCTGGTAAGCCTAGGCTCTTGGCCTTCTGCTGTTTTTGGTTTACTTTTCCTTTCAATTACTTTAATTTTATGGAGGAGAACACATTAATTAAATGCAGCTCTGCATGTCCAAATTTGTATTATCTGAGATATGTGGTGTTTATTTTAAATAACTTTCCTGTTTCATTCAAGTAATCGTAGGGTGGCAATAATTTCAGTTTGTGTAAATGACACTCTAGAGTCCTGTCTGTGATCCCACCCCAAGCCCTGTGTGGGGCCTTCCAGAGCTGTATGTACAGTCACTGTGCTTCCTCCTACTGTGCTGGCCACACTGTCATGGCAGGATCAAGTATAAGTACACTACTGTTGGCTTATTTTGATTTTGCATTGTCGTTATAAAGACATTAATGACAGTAATACAATGCTGAATTACATTTAAGGAGTACATGTACAGCGGAAACTTTTTTTAGGAGTTTTTGTGGGTTTTTTTAACTCTTCTTTTTATCTTCATCATCCCATTTACATTCAGGGTTTAAAAATTTAGGCCTGAAATACAGAATTTTCAGAATTGAAGCTTTTCTGTCCATTTTTTATTGCAGCAATTTTTTGTAGCTTTGTGCTGATATGACAGTATTTTGAAGATATTTTAACCTAACATTGCTAGTGGTAGCAACACTGCCCAGTAGGGAAAAATCTGAGTCAATTTTACATTCCATTTGGAGAAAGGTTTCAGGATGTGCCCAGGAAATGTTTACTTGCAAGATATATTGCACATGCTTAATCTATTTATTTCTAGTAAGTGTAGATACTTTTTAAAATAAATCTGGCCATACTAAAATGTATACATATATTCTCCCAATATAGGGCATCACATTTGATGAATTCAGGTCATTTTTCCAGTTTTTGAACAACCTAGAAGATTTTGCAATAGCCTTGAATATGTATAACTTTGCAAGCCGTTCTATAGGGCAAGGTAAGTAATAATCTTTCAAAAATTAAAAGCAAAACATAATCCTACATTGTTTCTAGGGATTTGCCAGCAAATTAATTAGATATAATAGCATATTAGCCATCATTGCCTGAAAATTTGTTGTGTACTTCCGTGGGAAATCTGTTTTCCCTAAGCGAAGTTTAGGAATAATAATATGATGAATTTTTATATTAGCAATACAATGTACAGATGATGTATTATAGAATTGTACACCTGAAACCTATAGTATTTTATTAACCAATGTCACCCCATTAAATTTTTAAAAATTATTATTGTTCTTCATTTTGTATTATGGGGTAAAGCTAATGATATTTGTAAAACTTCAGAGAGAAAGAACCCTCATGACCTCTGGTAACATTGAAGGATGTGTGTCTACTTACAGAAGAACCAGCTGGTCATGCCTCAGCCATCATTATGGGATGATACATATTACCCACAATCCCTGATGGCTGAGAAACCTGAATTTTGTCAACAGAGTCCCTTCTTAGCTATGGACTCATTAACCATGTTTTAAGAATGATAAATGAAATTGAATGTTGATTTTGCTTAATTTACGAAGAAATATGACTGTCATAGATCTCAGTGTTCTTCACCCTAGGACCAGCTCTTTCTTTCCCTGTAGGTAGACCAACAAGTCACATCCTTTCTCTAGGATTCTGTGGCTATGACCACTTTACCTTCTTCCCTCATGGCAGTACCCTTTTAAAATATTCTTGCCATACAAGGACTTTCTGTTCATGTCTTTAATGTGATTTGACCTATGTCTGCCATAATATAATAAATGCCATTTCCCAAATGTAATCCAAGGGGACAGTCTTGTTATTTTATTGCCAAGTTCTAGGGAGAAACCGAACTGTAGCCCGTAAGTGCTGATAATAATTCTCTCTCTCCCAAAAACAGAGAGATTGAGTCCCTCATATGGCTTCATTCATTTATTCATTGAGGAAAAGATACCTGAAAATTTGTCATTTTACCATTGGTATAGTCTTGATGTTCAAATAGAACATATTCTCAACTCCACCCATTTTAGTGTTTTAAAACCAAAACCCTTGGGAACCCTGCCTTCCCAGACCACTGTTTACTTCCATGACAAACCTGCTAGTCAGCCACAAAAGGAAAAAAAGTCTGGTTCAGAATGCACAGTTGTTCTTTTACTTTGTGGAACTGGGAAACAGAAAAAATCATTTGTGTCAAAATCTTGCAGGTGCTAGAAATGTATCTGTCTCTTTTCTGTTGCCACTGCTAGCACTTTCATTCAGGTTATTACCTCTCGAAAGGATCTGGTATTCCTGCCAATACCCACTTCCCTCTCCGATGTTTCCTGGACAGCTCACAGGATAATCTTTCAAAAACACAGGTTAACCTTTCTGTGACACACCCACTGTGAAAAACTCTTCAGTCCCCAATTGCCTGTTGACGAATGTACAGGTTCCTCACCTCCAAGTCCCTGCACAGAGCTTCTTCACCTCTTTCATGCCCAGACTGCTCACTGTTTTCTGAATGTGCTTTATCCCCTCCTGTTCCCTCCGTGCCTTTGTTCATGTCGTCTCATCTGCCGTTTCCCTCATCTCTACAAACTGAAATCCATCCTTCAGGGCGCGGCTCAAATACATGACTGTAGCCTTTCCTAATCTCTGCTCTCCTCTCCCATCCCTACTCCACACTACTCCCAGAAGGAATCACTCATTCCCAAACTCTCGTAGCGCTTTGGTGGCGCTTCTGTGCGGCCCTGTGTAATGTTATATGGGCAGGGCTCTCATCTCCCAGTGGAACTGAGTTTTCGGAGAGCTTACTCATTGTAATAACCCCTGAAGTGTCTGTCGCTTATAGTAAGTGCTCATTAAACATTCATTGAATATGAATACATTATTAAACTAAAACACAGCTATTCTTGGCCCTTTCGATTGAAACTACAAAAATTTTTAGTAATCAATATGTATTATAAAAATAATAATGGCTTACTCCTTTTCTGTAACATTTATCTAGATGAATTTAAGCGTGCGGTCTATGTGGCTACTGGCCTCAAACTTTCACCACATTTAGTGAACACAGTCTTCAAGATTTTTGACGTTGACAAAGATGATCAATTAAGTTATAAAGAATTTATTGGAATTATGAAAGACAGACTCCATAGAGGATTCCGGGTAAACCTATAAATTTCAAGCCTATTGATATTATTTTGTAAACTGAAAGAAAAAAAATCCATCTAAGTTTCTGAAACAATTTATATAAATTTTAAGTATATAAACATGAAATATTATATTTGAAAAGAAAAATATAAGGTCCTACCTATTTTCAAAAACAGTTTGAAGTGATAAAAAATGATTCTTTTTAAAATATAAAATCAGTTTGAATTTTAATAACTTATTTTCATATTCAAGTAGTTCAGTGTTTTTATCCCAATTTGTTGGGAGAAATGTTGCCAAATATTTTTGATTAACTCAGTCTACACACTTGCTATGAAACTTGTTAGTATACAAAGAAATATCACTGTTTCTCATCTTATATGATGCAGATTTCCACTAGGCAACTTGAGATGCTTACGTCACTGCATATACAGTACTTTTTATATAAAAAATAAAAACATTTTTTGTCTGTTGAACCATTCTTCCTGTTACCATTTTACACTGCAAAGTAATTATGAAAAATTCAATGATTTTTTATTCTCAAATATGGTTTAAAGGATGAAATATAGCATGAATCAATAAAAGTTTACACATCTAATGTATTTGTGGATGGTGCCAAAAATGGAAAAAGAAAAATATATATATTTCTATTAACAGCTATAATATGCAATCTTCCCTCTTTGGTAAGAATATCCCGAAGCATTATATATTTAAAAAGAGAAAAAGTTATATATACAAAAAATCAAGATTCATCTTTGACAGTGTTTTTAAAGATTTTTAAAAATCCGACCTGTCTTGGTAATGATACTGTGTACTTCACTGCCACCTAGTGGTTAGTTGTTGACATTTGAGTTGATGGCACAAATACCTGAAAGAGCATGTATTGAAAATCATTTGTTCTTCCTCAAAAATTTTAGAGTAGCAAGATTAAATTAAAATATAAACTAGACTATAAACTTCTGACATGGTATTTCTCTCTCAGGTGTTGTGTTTTTTTGTGTTTTTATTTTTTGTTTGTCTGTGGCCCCATAACACTTGATTTACATTTGCATTTTTTTAATCCTCTGTTCCACAGGGTTATAAAACAGTTCAGAAGTATCCCACTTTCAAATCCTGCCTGAAGAAGGAACTTCATAGCAGATAAGTATGTTGGTTTCTCTATCTAAAATTGTTCAGTAACAATAAAGCAAGGGTCATAATTTATTTTTCTGCTATGACATTTAGGAAATAGCTGAAATACAATTTATTTTTAAGTTTTAGGTCACTAATTCAATTTAATAATTTCTCTGTTAATGATTTTTAGTAATTTTATTTTATTTAGTAATTCAGTTGAAGAATTAGTCATTATAACAAAGCACTACTTTACCACTATTAAGTTGTGATCTAAAAATAAACTGGATAAATCCTCATCTGACTGGGATTCTCTTGGAATGTTTTGATTAAAAATTATTTTGTTTTACCTGCAGCTTTGTATCTGAGTAGATAGAAAATAATAACTCCAGATTGGACTTTTATAATCTAGGATCATTGTGATCTAAGGAACATTTTTTACTATTTTTTAGGATCATGATTCCCAACATCTGCTACAATGATAGCAGCTAATTTTTGTAGTTGTTTTAGATGTTTGGCTCTGTATTAGGTGTTCTACATGTAGACTCATTTAATCCTCACAGATATCTCATTTAACAGCCAAGGAAATAGAGGCTTAATGAGTCATTTGCCCAAGATAACATGCTCTAGCAAGTCACAAAGTAGGGTTTGAGCCTCATGCTGTGATGGCAAAGCCATCTTTATTATTTTCTAAAGTGTCACTGTAGAATGCCATAGTTGAGGAAGATACAGGATGTTTGTTCAGTTTGTATCAACCCAAAGAAATGTCTCAGATTTACTGCTGATCTCCAAAATGAGGGATTTGTTTTTCCCTTTCTCTTTTAAAAGTCAGCTGTACCTATAAAATTTTGGTTGATTGTGGGTTCCAATTAGTAAGGTCTCTACTTGCAAATATATATTTCTTGCTTGAAATATTTTTTTTTTCTCTGGCTTGAAACATTTACATTTGTCTATAGCAGTATTACCAAAGTGGTTCCAAGCGATATCAATGCATATTATTCTTTAAAAAAAGTTGAGTTAAGTAAGTTAGAGAAATATAATAAACATAGTTAAGTAGGTTCCTTCCCCCTTAGAACTCATGGGATCTTAAGCCACCATGCATTTGTCTCTCTCAAAGAAGGCGGCAGTATTCCGTATTTTGCAGAGTAGCTTTGAGGCTTAATGTTTTATGGAACCCATCTTGAGAAACGCTCATCTAAACTGTTTAGTGGCAAGTAGGTTAATTATTTATCTGACGTGGTAACTGTCATTGAGCTAACAAAACATCTTCCTAACCTCTGTTTTAGAGAACTTGATCCTGCCCTGTAAGAACTTAAACTAAACATTAAAAAAAGTAGGACCATGCCATATATATGTTCACATAGGTAATGTTCCCAACTAACTTGTCATAGTGTCCCTCTGACACTGTTGATTCTATACAGTAGTACACAGGACCATAGATAAAGATGACTGCGTTTACTCTAGACCTTTATACGACTGAGTATTAGGTTACTAAACAAAACACTGAACTTTTAAATTAAAGGAAATGTTTTATGATTAAGTCTTTTGATCCTTATATTTTCTGTTGGTTGTTTATATTATGTACCTTACTGCTTCGTATTATTATAATAATATTTGTCTAATGCCATCACCTCTGAATTTCATCCTAAATAAATATTGCTTACATATATATTTTTTAATTAGGTACACGAAAAACAAAGTTTAAAGGATTATCTACATGACAAATGTAAGAAGCAATAATTTCAGAGAACAGAAGCAGATCTGAGGTCAGAACTTGCAGAAATGAAGGAAAAGGTGAAATGCAAATTCAGTTTTTTTCTTGAACTGAGTTCTTCAGCATAAGACGGATAAAATGCGTCTTTTTACTAAGGACAGATGCCATGTGCTAGCAGGCAGGGCTTTTGCCTCGGTGCCCTGACCTCTGCACTCCCTCATTCCTTTCAGAAGGAGAGAGATGCTTCCCATGACCGTATAAGAATGTATTTTAAATATTTAAAAACTTATTAGAAATCTACCTAACTTCAAATATTGTACATCTCTTGGAATCTAGATCACTTAAAAATGAACAATGACATTTTCTTTGGTTTTAGACTGTGAACTTACTTTAAGAAAATGAATATTCCTTAAGATTGTCTTAGGGCCTTAGAATCGTTGATAAGCACCTATTATCTAGTTTTTAGTGATATTGAAAGTGTTTTGAAAAACAAATAGAAAGTAACATACTGTACAATATGATGGTTTACATTGTACTTTTAACTTTTAAAAGTACTAAATTAACATGCATTGTTTTAGTCATATAAAGTTTTTTTTTAAGTTTTTGTTCATTTACCAAGTCAACAGAATGTCTGGTGTTCTTTTATGTGTACAGTAAAGAAATCGAAGATACAGATTTTTTTTTCTCAAAAAGTCATATATTGATGGTAGAATAGTGGTAGTTGTAGCATTAGTCACCGTCCCTGTCAATATTGTTTTAACATGATGCTGCTTCTGATTGTAGAAGGTATATGTTAATAACACTAGTAAAAATAATATCTTACAACTCTATAACTTATTGTGCATTGTTAGTAAATGTCTATAGCATCAAAATGAATATGTAAAAGACTAATATAAAGTGGCTTAAAGATTTATGTAAATATTAGGTAGAAGTTAATACATTGTTTCTTGGAAAAGGACCACTTGGAAAAGTGATACCAAATAGTCAATGAATAATTTAATATAATTCATTATTTCAGAATATGTCTTAAAAGAGAAAATAAATACTTTCTATTAAAAAACAACAAAATTAGATTTTCACATGGAGAAAATTTGGTAGTACTTTAATGGAAATCTGTTCAATTGAAAAGTTTAGTTTATAAAAGGATACTATACAAGTGTAGAACAGTGAATTTAAATTAATATGTTAATGTATTATATGTAGAAATGTTCATTTATCTTTTTTTCAAGATGTATTTAATGTAAATTGCACACACTCCAGCTTTTACCTTGCTTTTGCTTATGAAAATAGGGAATACTGACTTTGTTTTTATAAGTTATTAAATGTGAAATTGATAGCTGTCCATAAGCCTGTTTATAAAAGTAGTGTTATTTCCAAGAAAATGTTATTAGCATTGAGTATTTGACTTTTTACATTCTTTATCTGATATTATTTATTACATTGATATAGAAATGTGATTCATAAATGTGAGGATTCTATGTAGTATAGTAATTTAATTTCACCTGCTTTCAAGGTTGATTCAATTGATTGACTAAATGAAAATGCCTGTCCACTCATTTGACATAGCCAGGCCTATGTTACCTTACCTGAATCTTCTCAACATTATTTGCTATCTAAAATAATTGAAAAAGTGCAACTTTTATCTTTGACTATAAGTTATATTATCCTGCATACATGCAAAAATTGCTATTTAGAACAGTCCTATAAATGTATATTAAAAACTAAATTATCTCATTAAAATTATTTATAATTCTGCCATTCCCCCAAGGAATACTACATATGCAGTCTTTATTCTTTATTGCTTATCAGAGTGAATGGATATTCGTCTGTTTATAAGACTGTAGCATAATATTAAAATGGGAATAAATGAAATATTCTGGTCAATTAAAATGGAAAAGTAGTAAATTACAATGATTCCTTATGTATTATCACTCGTGAACTTTACCCCTCTAATTAAAATGATAAAAAGAACTCATTGGATTGTTGTTTACATCAATTGAAAAATGTTAAATACTTTGAGAATAGTAATGTACTAAATACATGTATGCTATTTTTCTCAATATTTCCTTCTAACTATTCTTTGAAAAGATAAAACTATACGTAAAATTTTAGTATTATATTCTTTACAGAGTGTCTATATGATGAAAGGCTTGTGGTACTTCTCAGAATTGTTTAATGTTAAGAAATTCATTTAACTTAAGTTCCAGTGTATTGTTCTTATTATAAAACATAGTTGTAAAGCAACTTACATTCTTATACTGTCTTAAAATAAATATACCTGCTCTTGAATCAAGAAACTTAGTACTTTGCTTTTCTTAAATTCTGTGAAATATTTTAAGATGAAAATGTTTTTCTGTGGGCTAATGTCTTTCTAAAACATGTCACCTCCAAACTTCAGAACTGTTTATTGGCTACCAAACCTCAATTGATCTTATACCTTCTGCTCTAATAATACATGGCAATGAAATTAATCTCAACACTTCTGTAGGTAAATAAATTGCAGAGCCATAAAGCTTCTCAATGTGTGTAAGAGGAATCGATACTTTATAGAACGTGGTCATTGATACTGGGAAGCTTTCAGAAAGTTTACATGTGACTTAATGGAGCATCAGTTTTGCTTTACAAAACTGATGGCTTAAATGGCTTAAAATAACTAAGCCAACACCACAGCAGCCCCTTTGTACTAATGTTGGTTATTTTGTAGGCGGCATCTTATCAAGATGACTCCTAGAAATTTACCAATTTCCAAAATACACTAATTATCCCACTTTTTATAGCCATACAGTAAATTAACACTTTTACATACTGCTTTTACTTCCAAATGATGTAAAAATATGAATTCTGTAATATTCAATAAGTATAAAACAAAATTTTAAGTGATAAGAAAGCATAGTGATTTTTTCTTTTAATTGGCAGCACTTTTACTTTATTAGTAGCTCATAAAATAATGGTATGTCATGCAATCAGTCACATCTTAAATTCTGTGAAATATTTTAAGATGAAAATCACTGCAAAGATCTAATTCTCTTTACATTTTTATATCTTCATAATTTTCTTTATATGACAATCAGTAATTCTGGCACTGAGGCATATATCTATAATCCTGACTGTATGCATATCGGTACACAATGCTCAGAGAAAGTACAAACATTATTATAAAAGTTTTCTGGAAGGATAAGATGTGTCCAGTATTATAAAGGAGTAGAAGGACACATGTTTATGAGAACTAGAATAGAGGAAATAAGAGGATGAAGTGGGAGTCTGAATGAGGATAGATGTTTAAAATTGGGATTGAGTAGACAGTTTTTAGAAAAATAACTTTTTTAAAAATGCAATAAAGCAATAATGTCAATACATCCTTTCACATACCAGGTTGAAAAGATAGAGAGGCTCTGGAGTAAATAGTATTGGTAAGTGTGTGGGCAAGTGCTGGTGAAGCTATAAATTTGGATGAACATGTTCAGAGGGAAATGAAGAAATATCTCTATGTCTTGACCTAGGATTTTACTTCTGGGATTGTAATATCCCAATACATATGTTTATAAATTTGCATTTCAAAAATATACCTATACAATGAAATAGTTTGCAACTCTGAGAAAGAGTGAAGTTCATTTTTCATGCTGATATGAGATGATCTACAAGATATTTTTATGGGAGCATAGCAAGGTATGGAAGAGGGAGCAATATGCTTCTGTCTGCACTCAAAACACACTTTCATTGCAAAGAATTCTATCTTAATGTATCTTTACCAAAATTATGTGTACGACTTAAAAGTCAAAGAGCTCTAAAGGGTTTAAATAAAACAGCATTCCTTTTTCCTCACTTCTGCTCCTTAGAAGCAATCACTTTCAAATCCTTTAGCAGTTTCTTTTGGTATCTGCCTTCATATTTCAAGATAACATGCTTATACCAATATTTCTTGATTGATTTTATTTTTAGTATATTAACTGTTGACTTCCTACAATGGAAGATAAGGATTTAGCTTTGTTACTCAAACCCCCTTCAAGACACACACACATATTTTCCCTTTTCCCATCCTTTCAGTATAGTTAGAGCATAATTTTTGTTAAATCAATTATTACATCATCAATTACTATATTTCCTTCCTTAAACATCATCTTACTTTCCCTAGAGTTAATAATTTTCTCCTTTTCAGCTCCTTACTTTTTGTATTGTTCTCACTTAACTGTCATTAATTCATGCCCAGTCTCACTTCCAGAACTAAACACATATTGTTAATACATTGCAACACATCAAGTAATATGTAAAATTTTATTATAATTTTAGAAATGCCTCCTGGAGCTCTCTGTCTTACTGTCTCATCTTGAATGGTTGTTCTCTAGTCCTAGTGCAGAGCCTTAATTCCAGGATCTCCCTTCTTCATCTCTCGAAGATCCTGTTTTACCCTTTCCATATCCTAGGTCTTCCTCTTATCTTTTCATTTTTTTGGAGTGGAGCACAATGCTCCATATTTCCTGAGAAAAGCTGCATGGTAAATAAATGTTAGAGATCTAGTATGCCTAAAAATGCCTTTGTTCTACTCTCGTGCTTGGGTAACAATTTTGAACTTTGAACTTTCAAAGCATTGCTCTATTGTCTCCCAGCTTTCAATGTTGTTCTCAAGAAATCAGAAGCCATTCTAATTCCCAACCTGTTTTTTCTCTCAGGAAGTTAGTAGTCTCTACTGTTCTAAAATTTCTCAATAATATTACTTGGTAAAGGTCTTTTACTCATTGATTGTGATGGGCACTCAATAGTCCTTTGAATCTAAAAAAGCATGGCATTTAGTTCTGGGGAAAAGAATTATTTCTTTGAGAACTTCCTCTCTTCTTGTTTTCTCTGTCCAGTTTTTCTGGAACTTCTATTACAGGTTTTCCCTCCATTCTGAAAGTAGAGCATTTCTATGAAACCTTTCGTTAGCCAAAATGGCATAAAGCAAACTAAATCCTCTTTTTCCGAAAGTTCACATTGTCTCTTCACTTTTACAAGAGCCCTACATCAGTACTTCTTTCACTAGCCAAAACAAATCTGAAGAGGACTTCTCACTTAAAGAGGAAGTCATTACTGTCCTACTTAGGGGTCTTTCATAAAAGCCAAGCGGCGTAAGGTGAACGTTGGGAAAGTGGGGGATGCCTGTTATCAGATACTGAATCTCCTGTGCTCATCCTATCATTTTTCTTTTTTTCTTCTCCTTTTATTGAACCATTTTTAAAAGAATTCTTGAGATTTCTTGAGAACCTTCTTGCCTTTTATCCATTATCTGGATATTAATTTATTCCATTATATTTTTAAATTTTTTCTCTGCACCTTTTATCTCCTGTTTATCTTTAGTGTATTCAGTAGCTTTTATTCTCTTATTATTAATTTTAGTGTCTGAAGTTTTCTGCTTCCTTCATGGCCTCATTCCTTTTTTCTGTTTGTGGTTTGGTACCTCACAGTAGAGGTTTTCCTCAAATATCTGGTAATTTTTCACTGTATGTTCATGTTTGTAAAGAACAACTTGGAAGCTGAGTGCATGAAATGAACTTTCGACTGATGGGTTTCCCTCACTGCTCTTGCCGGGCCCGTTCCTGTGAGAGACCTTGACTAATGGTATTGCTAGGTCTCTTCTTGGTCAGATTTCTGCTGCCTCATAATTCTGCTATTTGGTGCAGAAGGCCCTTTGAAGATGGGACCGTAGGTATAGTTAATGAAGCGGGTTATAAGGTCATATATTTAATGAGCATTGTCGCACTGTTTTGAGTGTACTTACTATATCTTTGTTTACTTTTTCAAGAAAGGCACATTTTTTAAACTTAGGATCTCAGTCTGGAAAAAGTGGGAATACGTCATAAAGGTCATGTGTGGAGTAGAGTTGCTCACCAAATCCAGAGATAGGTTACTTTGTGAAGCAGATATAGCTCAAAAGTGGAATGGTGATTGTGAGTTTATGGAACTATCACATGGTGTGAGCTTGGATGGCAGGGACGGGAAAGGGATGAACTGATGAAGGAACGTCAGTGGAATAAGTTTCTGGATTTAAAAAGTTAAAGACAGCAGCCATGCTCTCTTACAGAACATTCTGGTGACATTCACCGTAAGAGACAAAGAACTGAACTTGATTACCAGTCTAATTCAGTGTGGCATTTCCTATTGCATATTTTCAAGGATGAAGCAAGAAGCTTGAAAGCAAGCAGATTAGTCTACCAGCAGATTGTAAATGGAGGTAAAATGAGAGCTTAGGACAGAATGAAAGGCAGTTAATAAAGATATTCCCAGTCTGTGGTATATAATGCTTTACTCTTTGCAAGCTCTAGGTGCAAAGAGTTAAAAGTTCAAGCTGAAAAATCTACAAAAACACTCTGAAAATCTATACTATTTAATGTCATTGCAGTTTGGTGCTAAGAGGTTCTCAAGAAGGTGAGTATCTTATATACCATTTGTGCTGTAATATTTAATTACAGTGAGTGTACAGATTAGCTGTCTCAAAGATTCTTTTGAAATCAGATTGCACATCAAAACTGCATTGTGCCCGGCTAAGCAAGCAAATTTAAGAAAGTGGAGAAGGTGATGTCAGGACTTATTGCAAAATGAACAAATAAAGGAGTAGGATTTGCTTGATGTTCAGCCTATTAAAGCACCACCAAATGTTAGCCTTTGTTTGTCAACTTGAATGTGTTTTTCTAAAATTTACAGCGACTCAGGACATGGAAAGTGTCCTTTAGCTAGTACAGTACTTGTACTTGAGAAATAAAATAAGCAACACGAGGTTGTGAGCTTTTCAAAATCTATTTAATCCCTTTGTATACTAAATCTATAAATCATTTGACTGTCATAAATTGCAAATATTCTTCCAATGTTTTTGTTGAGTTTTATTTATATATATCAAACGTATTTATTTTTATGTATTTGAACGGTCTTTTTTTTTTTTTGCCATTTTCCTCCATTGTTTTTAAGCTTAGAAATTTCTCTCCCAATTTGATAAATATTCTGTCATATATTTTTGTAGTTTGTTTTCTTTGCACTTCACTAAAAAAAAAAAAAAAATTCACCTAGGATTTTATTACATGGCGAAAAAAACGAGGGCCTAACTCTAAATTTCTCTGCAAATATCTAACCAATTTATCCAGCAGTACTTACAGAATAATTCTTCCTTTTTGCTACCTAATATAATGCAAATTATATTTTACATACTTGGATCTGTCTTAAGATACTATTCTCTTCCCGTTGACTGACTGGCTACCTTTATAACCATATTGTTTTAGTTATTGTAGCTTCATAATGTCTTCATTTTCCATAGGACGAGTCTGTCTCCCCC